TGTTTGTGGGACATTCCCATGGTTGCTGATTGATGTGGGAGGGTCCAGCAGTCCCATCTCTGGACAGATAGGTCTGGGATATATAAGAAAGGCAGCTGAGCAAGCCAGGGGAATCAAGCCTGGAAGTAATCTTCCTCTATCTATGGTTCCTGCCTCTTTTCCTGCATGTTTTCTTGCCCTGACTTTCCTCTGAGTTCAACTACCGCCAGGACCTGTAAGCCAAATAAACCATTTCCTTCCCGTGTCACTTTTGGTCATGGTGTTTATTTATTACAGCAATAGAAAGTAAACTAGGGCAGCATTGAAACCTCCAAAGTGATTTCCAGGTTAGAGTCGATTCTCTTGTATTTATTTCCAGCACTAAACCCAAAGACAACATTGATGCTTTGCCCAAAGACAGCCTACAGACTTCTGTCTCATTCAGTCTTAAACAAACACATCACTTAGCTCTGCAGAGATTGTTTGAGTGAAGGCCCTTGTGTGTGCATGAGTCAGTAAGATTTGGCTCCAGATAGCAATTACCGCTGGCACCTCCTTCTTTCATCTCAGGAGACACAAGGAAATCGTAAACACCAATCCAGACACCTAATAAATAAATGAATGATAAAAAGTTCACTTTCTCCCCACTGGGAACAGAACTTGAAGTATTTACCTTAGTCTTTGCGGCAGGTGTGTGAGCTGTGTGGCCTTGCCAAGCCTTTCCCTTCACTTCTGCATTAGCAGGAGTGAAGTGACAGTGTCTCCAGCCTTGCAAGTCTGACTCATGTTTAATAAGCCAAAGTCTCCTAGCATGGGTGCCTTTGCCTCTGCCATCGAGTTTAAAGGGCACTACAAAGAATGAAGAGAGATCCTGGCTTCCTTCGGGAATTCTACACATTCTCGCTACACCATCTGGAAACCTCCCTTTTGATGAAGCTTGCCCATGCTTTAGATGTGACTTCTCTGTCCTGTGCAGAGAGACTAAACATGTTCTCTTTACTGTTTTCTGAGAGGGATGAAGGGCTGAGGAATGTTTTCAGTATTGCCTGGGCAGATGCTGCAGGGAGCATGGCTTTATTTTATCATCCTTCTTCTGGTTACTAGAAACAGTTACTGACTGCACATTAAGGCTGTGAATGTCACTGTGGTTCAAGGTACAGCGTATACTTAAGTGCCGAATTCAGGAACTGAATGGGGCATTTTCTACTTGGCTCTAGACTGTAATATGAATATGTCTATGACAGATTTACAAAGGTCTCCAGTTAGTATTTTTAAAAAACAAAATGCTTAAAGGAAGTGTGTGTTGGGTGGGGGAGAGACAGAGAGAGAAAAGCTTACCAAAGAGGCTCAGTGTTCTATTGCTGTGAAGAAACACCATGACCGCAGCAACTCTTATAAAGGAAACCCTTTAACTGGGACTGGCTTATAGATTTCATCCATTGCCATCATGACAGGAAGCATGGAAGTGTGCAGGCAGACATGGTGCTGGAGAGGTAGCTAAGACTTCTACATCCAGATCTGCAGGCAGCAGGAAGAGAGAGAGACTGGGCCTGGTTTGAACTTCTGAAACCTCAAGGCCAGCCCACAGTGGCAAGCTTCTTCCAGCAAGGCCACACCTCCCAATCCTTGTCAAGTAGCACCACTCCCTGATGACCAAGCACTCAAATATATGAGCGTATGGGGGCCATTCTTACTCAAACAGCACATGCAGCAAACGTCCATCCTCATAGAAACTATTTGCTAGCACAGACAGAGAAGCTGTCCTGGGTTTTGCATAGGTTCTTTGCCTTCTAATGGGCTTAGCCATTCATTCATTCCCTCCTTTTGATCCTGTGGCACCCTTTAAATAATCCCAAGCACAAGACTAGAGAAATGGCTCCGTGGTTATGAGCACCTGCATGGCAACTTACAACCATCTGCTATTCCAGTTCTAGGGAATCCAGTGCCCTCTTCTGGCCTCTCCAATCACCAGGCACACAAGTGCCATACATGCAGGCACAACACTCATACACATAACATTTTATAAAGTCCCAGGACCACCTTAGCATATTCTGCATAACATCTGTAGCATCTGTGGCATCTGTAACTCCTTTATAGAGTAAGACTTTTTAACCTAGTAATAACATTTATAAATCCATTCAAATTTTAGAATCTATAAGAAAAAAATAAGAAATTTAAATATAACCACCAGCATTTTAGTTTTCATTCATCTGTTCTAAAAAGTCATAAAGATGCCCAAACCTAGTCTATTTCTTTTGATTTTTTTTTAAACAAGCAATTTGTTTGGTATAATGTGGGGTTACTTTTTTTTTTTTTTAAATTGCTACTGTTTGGTTTTATGCTGTAAAAACTATTGAGTTCAAATCACCTCGAATTTTAACAATAATCACTACAGCTGATCATTTGACCAATCTTCCTGCCACCTTCAGTGGATGGAAATCATGACAATTAACTTCAGCCTGCTGACCAGGGAAAGCTTCATTTTAGACAATTCATATGTTACCTTTCCAAATTCCTCTTAGGTACTTATTAAAATGGGGGAATTTATAATTAAAGTCCTGTCTCTATTCCCTCTCCTTTTATCCGAAGGCACTGATGCTCCATGTGATTGGCAGTGTCTGCATCTTATCTGCCCCTTAATCATCAAGCTACTACCCCCCTCCTTGTTTTCATCTGTGAATGCATATTAAGCTATAAGGTTAAAGACTTGCCCTGTGGTTAACAGAATGTATTCGGATGCCCATGCAGACACAGTTCTACCCACCCGCATCCCCTCTCCCCTCCACACACGCACACCACCCCCAGCATGCTGCTCCCTTGGTGTTTTATGATTTTATTCAGTTCTATCTCTAATATGCATTGTGAGGACAGGAAGGACTCGATAGTGTCTCTGCATTATACAGTTTTTGCTTAGAAACCCAATTCCTGCAATCCCAGAAATGTAAAGACTTAGAAAGGTCACTTGCTGGAGGCACATGACCAAGCTTCCATGATCATCTTGAAAGCCTGTTGAGGAGAAGCTGCTATGCCTGGTTCAGCCGCTTGCTTTGAGTAATCATTTTCTGCCTTCTTTCCCTTCACCTTTGCCCCTCCTTAGATGTGAGAAATGTAAGGAATGTATTAGTTTGTCATTCAGGTCTGCTTGCCTGGGGTTATAAGATAACAACCCCATCTGCACACATACCCCCTTGTCCAAGTTGAAAGGGTAGCAGGGAGGTGAACTATGCCATAGGCAGATTTATCACCTCTGAACCAAAATAGGCAAACATTTCCAAGATTGATCTCACATTATCTAAGAGGCCAGGGAAACCAGATGCTTTTAAATATGCCTACCAGTTGGAGGAAGAAAAGAAACAAGAGTTTGTATTGTACTTTCTAATAAAGGTAGTTAATTTGCAAATATGGGGATGAAGGAAAACTGCCTTGGGCTCTTCCTGTGGAGGTGGAATGCAGGGTTTTGTAGACTGGTGCTGGCTAACTGAACTCACCCTACCACCACACTCACACGCAGCCACACCCTGTGGCTTTCTGAGCCATTGGTAGAGGATTCGCATCACTTTCTGAGTTTGGGGAGTTCAAACTAATTCTATGAAATATAACAGTTCCCCTTTAGATGATGCTAAGAAGCCCTGGTATGAGTGATGTGTTTTTAGATAAACTCCTTTGAAACCCTGTAAAACTAAAAACAAATAAGTAGAATATTTCACATAAGCTCACTTGATTATTTTATCTTTGGTAATGGCTGCTTATAAGATAAACTCTCAACGAGGAACTATTTGCAGTCTCCTGTGAGGCTATCTATATTTCAAAATTAAGAATTTTTAAAAGTATTCCTGGGGTGGAGAGATAGTTCAGAGGTTGGGAGTGCTGGCTGTTCTTCTTCTGGAGGTCCTGAATTCAATCCCCAGCACTCACGTGGCAGCTTCCATGTGTGCAGACAGAACACTGAATACATAATATATAAATAAATCGTTTTTAAAAAGTATTCCTATAATTCACCTCAGTTTTCCCTACTCATCTACTGTCCTTCAGACCTCTGACAGCTATATCGAGTCACAGGTTAATTATAAAGAGAATCAGATAGGAGATGACTCCATCCATTCAAATTCATCACCAACACAGGAGAAAGCAACATTCCCTGAGCAAGAACTACAGAATACAAGCAATATCAGATGCTAACTGCTTACTATGAAATTACTTATTTAGTGAAACCTCAGTTTGTATAGAAAATACCAAAAGTCCTACAAATAACCAGCAACCAGGCCTGGTCTCTCTAAAGTCTTAAGGACTAATCATTGTTTTGTGCTAGTCTACTCCTAGCTAGAGTCTACTCCTGCTAGTTAAAAGTGGACTCAAATGTCATGAGTTACATCTAAATCCATGGACCAGAAGACAGCATAAAGCAAATGCAATCTCTCTTTCCCATAGTAAGTTGGTGAGGAATGATAAAAATGAATGCTCAGGCAAAACTTGAGAGAGAGAGAGAGGGGGGGGGGGAGGAGAAAGAGAACCCAACAGACTTTAATCCAGACTCAGGAAGCAGAGTCAGGTGGATGTCTATGAGTTCGAGGAGAGCCTGGTCTACAGAGTGAGTTCTACGTGAAACCAAGCCTATACAGAGAAACTCTGTCTCAAAAAACCAAACCAAACAAACATACAAACAACAAGTGTGATGTGTTGTGCTTCATTTGATTGTATTTTTCCAGCTCAGCTTTTAAGGGTACCTAGAAACCATTTATAACCTACATATGGCTTTATGGATCTAACTTAATAGTACAACACTTTCTTGACATCTGTGAGGCCCTGGGTTCAATCCCTAGCACCCCACAACACAACAGTAAAGGTGTTTACATACATGAAAAGCAAGCCAAGCCATGTGCCTTCAGGGGAGATGTGTTAGCTCACCCAAAGGAAACATGGCAGTGCCCATACAAGGAAGCAGACTTTCGAATATCATCTCAGGTGTAGTTGGTGTGAAGAGATAGAAATAACAGCACCGTTTTCTGTATCCTTGTTAACAGAGCCCGTCTTCTACTTTGGGGATGTCCAGTACTCCGTGGATGAGAGTGCCGGCTACGTGGAGGTGCAGGTGTGGAGGACGGGTACTGACCTCTCCAGGCCTTCAAGTGTCACCGTGAGGTCCCGTAAAACAGAGCCCCCCTCTGCAGATGGTGAGCAGTCTGCTACATCAGCCTTCTTCTGTGTTTTCCTATGGCTTCCAGCTGCCAAGCTCTTCACCTGACTAAAACATCCTTAATGAATTACTTATTCTGAAATTATTATGATAGAGTATGTAAACTTAGACTTTGCCATTGTAAAGAACAAGACTTGGAGACCATGAAACAGAGTCTATGTTGTAACGTAAGATTCAAAGGCTAAACTTCGATGCTCGCATTTGCATGGCTTGGTTCTCTGTTCAACAAATCTAATAGGGTTAGCTGTTCTGACAGATACACGGGAACAGTCTCACCCACCACCCTCACAGAATCTACAGACCTTTAAGTCTTTCCCAGGTATGCTTGTCACTTGGCTCCATCCTCCTTTTAACCAAGTGTCCCTGTAAATACTCAAGATGCCTCAGGCTTCCCTGTTATGAGTAGTTTTTCCCACCAGTCTGGTCCCACCACCTTACCAGCCCCAAATAATACACAGAGACTCTGTATTTGATATAATGCTGTTGGCCAGTTACTAATTCCTTATCAGCTAGCTCTGTCTTAAATATTAACCCATTTCTATTAATCTAAGTACTTCCACATGGTCTTATCTTACCAGAGAGAGGGCCCGGACCTCTGTTCTCTCCATTCTTTACATCTTGACTCCTCTTACTACTTCCTTGAATCCTCCTTGTCTCATAGCCTTGCCTATCTTGCTTTCCTATTGGCCAACATTGCTTTATTCATTAACTAATAAGGGAAACATATTTACAGAATGACATCTCCCATCATCTCCCTCTACACATGGCCACATAAATTGTCCTAGCTGGTGGCACAGTGCTGATTATTATCCCAAGCTCTAAAAGACTGATGGCAAACTTTAGGGCAAACATGGGGCTGAAAATTTCCTTTTTTTTTTTTTCCAGCTGACTGATAATATGTTTCTCTCACATACACCCATCCATCCAGTGTGACTAGTATGTGACATGAACAAGTACACCCAGATATCATCATACATGGTCTCATCATCAGTCATCAGGCAGAGCAGGCAGGAGCTGCTCCATTTTAAAAGTCATCCATAGGTCTTATTTGGATGCAGTGAACTAGCCCTGCTCCTTGCAGGCTGCAAGTATCTGTTAATATGTTTAGCCAAATTATTCTTTTTCTTCTTTTTTTTTTTTTTTTTTTTTTTTTTTTTTTTAATTTTAACAGTCCCTCTGTGTAGCCCTGGCTAGCTTGGAGCTGGCTATCTAGACTAGGCTAATCTTGAACCTGTTACATGGACCAGGATAGCCTTGAATTCACAAAGATCTGCCTGTCTTTGCCTCCTGAGTGCCAGGATTTAAGGTATATGCTATCATGCCCAGCCCCAAATTATTATTATTATCATTATTATTAGTATTATTTTGAGGCAGGATTTTGCTATGTAGACAATGTTGGCCTCAAACCCATGGAGAACTGCCTGTCTGCGTCTTCCAAGTACTGGGATTAAAGGTGTGCACCACTAAACCAGGCAAATTATTCACTTTTAAGAATAAAATTTAGCTGGGCGGTGGTGGCTCACACTTTTAATCCCAGTACTTGGGAAGCAGAGGCAGGGGGACCTCTGTGAGTTCGAGGCTAGCCTGGTCTACAGAGCGAGTTCCAGGATAGCAAGGGCTGTTACACAGAGAAACCTTGTCTCGAAAAAAACAAAACAAAAAATGAAATTTAAATCAGAGTTGAAGGTATGCATAAAGAAAAATAACAATAAAGAAAACTAAAATATAAAAGAAACAAGGAAACATTTGTTGTGTGTGTGTATGTATATGCATGCTTGTGTGTATGCACACTCAAGTGTGCACAGGCATTTATTTTATGTTTGGGGTTTGGATGCTCAAGATTGAACTCACAAATTGCAAATGCCCAGCACATAACTCCTCCACCGAGTTAAACCTCTAACCATAAAAAAACAGAAATTTTCTTTTTTAATCAATCAAGATAGATACACTCACAGTCACACATTCAGAGATTAAAATAGGCACAAAACGAAAGATAGAATTACAAGACTATTAAGAAAAGAGAGAAACAAACCATATAGATTTACTGTCCCCTACCCTCAAGTCTTCTTGGACACAGTGACTAAAGATTAAAAGACAATTATATTTTAACTACTTTATATGTAAATTGAGGTATAAACACTACATATGTACTACATGGCTTGAAAAATACTAAATCCAATATCAAATATGTCTTTGGAATTGATGTTTGCTTTCATGGAGTAAGTGTCAGGGCAGAGGAACTTAGCACTGAAAAGTGTTGGGTTCTAACCAAGAGGCAGCCCTCTTGTATGCCAGAAAAAGAAATAAGATAGCAATTTAATTGACATGAACAAAATTTAAATGTGTCTATTATATATACAATGTTTCCATGAATTTGATTGGTATGCTGATTGTTTTAGAACTGATTAATGTCGGACTTTAATAAAGATGGAAAAGAGATAAAATGGAATGCTAAAATATATAATTCAAATTCAACCACTGAAGATAAGGTTTAGAACTCCATCTTAAATTCACTACATCAATCTTTTCCATCTTGTTAATTAAATGTATTTCTCCGTAGTATTTTGTATATATGTTATAGTATAAGACATTAACTATAAGTTTGTCTATATATTTTTTTTAATTTAGTCACCATGTAAATAATCCATTCCTTCTGGTTTTAGCTGGAACAGATTATGTGGGAATCAGTCGCAATTTAGATTTTGCACCTGGCGTCAACATGCAGACTGTTCGTGTTGTCATTCTGGATGACCTGGGAAGACCCATACTGGAGGGAATTGAAAAGTTTGAATTGGTACTTCGCATGCCGATGAACGCTGCCCTTGGCGAGCCCAGCAAGGCCACAGTGTCCATAAATGACTCTGCCTCAGACTGTGAGTGACTAAATTTTAAAATGCTAAGACTGAATGTATCTAAACAGTAGGTAGGGTGATTCACTCTATACACCTATATGCATTTGCTAGGGCCGATGCTGTAAAGGGCCACAGGCAAGATGGCTTGAAAGTAGCAGCTCAATAGCAACCTCTGTTAGTGAGAAGCCTAAATGAGAGCCAGCAAGGTGGATTCCATCTGAGCTCTGGAGCTCTACCTTAAATGCCATCATAGAGCCTTCATTCAGTAGCTGATGGAAGCAGAAGCAAAGATTCACAGCTAAGCACTGAATGGAACTCCTGGGATCCAGTTGTAGAGAGAGAGGGAAGAGTGATGAGCAAAGGGGTCAAGACCATTTTTGGGAAACCCACAGAGACAGCTGACCTGAGCAAGTGGGAGCTCACTGATTGCTGGACTTCAGTACTTTGATAGCTGGACCTTAATAGTCAGCCTCAGGAGAAGGAAGTGGCCAAATACGGGAATAGGCCTTGGTGGCCAGCTTTAGGAATGTAATCTAATGGTTTTTAGCAAGACAGAGGCCCTGGTGCGTACTTCACAGAAGAGGCCAGTGAAAATTACAATGACAAGGAAATAAACTTTTAAAGCGATTTTTCTCAAATGTTGGCAAGTAACTAGTAGAGACAGAAATACTTATCTATCTACCTACATTAAACTGTATCATCTGAAAAGGGACATTTCTACTCAATTTGACCCATGAATTTATTTTTTCACAGTGCCTAAAATGCAATTCAAAGAAAGAGTGTACACTTGCAGTGAAAATGATGCCCGTGTAGTTGCAATGATCTACAGGAGTGGTGATGTCCAGCACAGCTCCTCTGTGAGATGCTACACAAGGCAGGGGTCAGCACAGGTGATGATGGACTTCGAAGAACGCCCAAATACTGATGCCTCCACTGTCACTTTCCTCCCAGGTATGTATGAGCTTGAAAGTAGTTAAAATCTTTTATTATATTTATCAATTGTGTGTGTATGAGCATTTGTCGGGGGGGGGCACGTGCATACAACATCTGACACGAAGTCAGAAGACAAGTTTTAAGAGTAGAGATTTCTCTCCCTCCCACCTTGTGGATATGGGGGATTGAACTCAGGTCCTCAAGCTTATGGAGACAGCGCCCTAAGCCCTTGAAGTTTCTATGTGTAATTTAAGAATACCAAATGTGGATTGAGAAAGAGGTAATCAGGAAAATACAGTGAAATCAAATTTCCTGATTTTCCATCAAGCTTGCAACATGAGTTTATGTTCACTAATTGACAAGGCATATGCATTGCAACAGGTTGAATAGACATCTTGTGATTTCCTCATTAACCTTTTGATTCCTAATGATTTATTTTATTGTTTGTTCAGAATTCAGCGGTCAAGAACCTATCAAATATGCAAATTTCACAAGGCTAGAAGTTGAAGTTAATGTTGAAATGTTATCAGGCAAAATATATCTCACACTTTTATGGGTTTTAAACTTTTTTGTTTATTTTTATTTTATGTGCATTGGTGTTTGGCCATGAGTGTTCAGTCCCCTGGAACTAGAATTACAGAGAGTTGAGAGCTGTCATGTGGGAGCTGGGGATTGAGCCCAGGTCCTCTGGAAGAGCACTGCACTCAATGCTCTTAACCACTGAGCCATCTTTCCAGCCCCATATCTCACACTTTTAATGTGTATCAGTGCCTTCAGATATTTCAGTACTTTGACCTAATATGTTTAATTTTATGAAATATAGTCTATCGAAAAGAAGTGAAAAGATGTGGGAAAATGTGCTCATATTGATAACAATTTAAGTGGTCAAGAGGAAGGCTTGTTTGTTGATATTTGAGCATCCATATGCTTGTATATCATATGGCCATGTTTTGAAGGATTTTTAATGAGATTGCACAAAACTGGCACAAATGCTAGATAAATGCTAGACTGTAAGGAGAGAAATTACAGAAACCTCTGTGGCCTGTGTACAAATTGTCACATATTGGGCAAATATTATTCAAGGCTTATTACAAACAGCAGTCTTTGCGCTGTCAGAACAGGAAAGCCGCACCCTTGCTCTTCAGCTTTGCTCTAGTTGTTGGTGTATCCTTGTAGAATATGTCACTGCTGTTTGCTCCAGGTGAGACGGAGAAGCCCTGCGTTCTTGAGCTGATGGATGATGATGTACATGAGGATGTGGAGGAGCTGCGCCTGGTACTTGGCACGCCACAGAGCAGCTCTGCCTTTGGGGCTACAGTCGGCGAACAAAATGAAACTCTGATAAAGATCCAGGATGATGCTGACAGTAAGAAGTCACTGCCTTTGCTAAACAGTGAATCCAGAACTGAAGTCCATCCCACCCACCCCACCCCCCAAGTTCCTAGGTGGCTCAGAAAAGTACCCCAGTAGGACTTGCAAATAACTGAGACATGAGAAAACAAGTGGGGAACAAGACGGAACCCCAAAACTGATGAACGTAGGGGCTGGCGAGATGCTCAGTAGATAAGGTACTTGCAGACAAGCATGTGGATAAGAGTTTAGAACCCCTGCACCCACATAAATGCTGGGCAGGCGTGGAAGCCTGCCAATCATCCTCTACTTCATTCCGGAGGCAGAGGCAGGATCTCTGGGACAAGCTGGCTGGCTAGCTAAGACTAGCCAAATTGGCAAGCTCAAGGTTCAGTGAAAGAGTCTGCCTCAGAAAATAAAGCAGGGAGTTATGAAGGAAGACAGCCAGCATCAGCTTGAGGCCCCAACATGCACACGCTGCACACATAAGAAAAACTGATAAACTGAAAAGCTTTGGGTACAGTCCAATGATCATGTACTTACCTAACACATACAAGACCCTGAGTTCAATACCAGCACTGCAAAATATAAAACCTGACAAAGCTCATTGAGGAGGCACTGGCTTATGCCTTCCTTACCTGCCCTCTCCCTGTATCTGTCTTTATGTCCATCCAGTCCTGGACTGCTGGTTCCCCCTTCGATGCCCCTTCTGAGTGCCTGCTCTTGTAAGATCTATGGAAAAAAGAGACACCCCAGCAGACACGCCTTCTGTGGGCTTACTGTTTCCCAGGAAGGATCTAGGCTCACAGCTTCTCCTTCTGTATTCACACTAATGTTGAGACAACAGAGAGAAGGCAAGAGTATAGCAATAATAAAAGTCCCCTGTGTGGAAAGAAGCAGAAATGGAGAAAAATGCCCAGCCCCACAACCCTTTGCTAGCAACCTAACTTGTCTGTGTTTTCCACACTCTTAGAAGCTGTTATCAAGTTTGGAGAAACCAAATTTAGTGTCACCGAACCCAGTGAACCAGGAGAGTCAGTGGTTGTCAGAATTCCAGTGGTCCGCCAAGGAGACACTTCTAAGGTTTCCATTGTGAGAGTTCACACCAAGGATGGCTCGGCCACCTCTGGAGAGGATTATCACCCTATGTCAGAAGGTATGGGTCTACAGTCTGTCACCAGCAGGATTGTGACTGCACTGTTGGAGCTGGGAGTCTGAGGAAAGGAAAAACAACTGAAAATAAGTGGACTTTTAAACTACCTCTGGAAATACAAAGAGCAGAATCCCCTGAATTTTCTCTGTGGGAAATTTTTAGAATTGCTGTGTGTGTTTTGAGCTCACTGACTGTAAGTTTTACTTCTGTTAAGTATTCAAGCGTTACAGTGTATATTTTCTCTGAATTTGAAAGTGTGTGCTAGCCATGCTGAACAGCTTCATTCAAAGTTTAAAGTTAGAAAACATTATGCTATCAGGGAGCAGTGAAAAGATAACAAAATACCAGCTACAGCAGCCCTAGTTCTGTGGGGATAGGAGCCTCTCCGGACACCTGCCGTTTCATCCCTGTGCAAGTTTGGGGACCATGCCATCATTTACTTTGAAGAACTAGTAAAACAACCAGATACTTCTCTTCTCTCTCTCAACCTCTCTCTCTCTCTCTCTCTCTCTCTCTCTCTCTCCATTATTTGTTAACAGCATAATCATAAATTCTGATTATCAAGGAATGTCCCTGCCTTTCTACCTCTTACCCTCAGCAGCCATTAGTTCTTTCTTTAATCACAACATTCCAGGTATTCACCTTGATTTTCTGACTCACTAAGGAAACGTTAAAAGTGACTGATGGACGTTACTGAATCAGTAACAAACTTAGTAAGTAATAGAAACATAACACCTTCCACAATGAGCTTAATTTCCTTTGCATAAACAGTTAATGCTATTCCCAGACTTAGAAGTACATCGTATATAATTCAAAAGCCATGAAAATAAAACAGATTTTCTACCAAATTACAAAATTTCAAGTCAGTCTTTACTTTACTTACTGACATGAAAGAAAAACTGTCTAAATATGGCCACATAAACTTTTAACAGAAATTGTTTATCTTAGAAATAAAATTATCCCTTTAGTGAACAGAGAAAAATTAAATGCATAGTGAACTAACAAACAAACAAAAAAAAAAAACAAATAAAGTTAAACAACACCGAATCCACTAGCTTACTGTTTGTAATAAAATTTGACAGTTTTTTTTTTCTGAAGCATGTTTTAATTATTTATTTTCTAATCTAAATTGAGGTCATGCCCAATCAAATAGGAAAAACATTGCCATAAAAGTTGAACTCTTGCTCTGTGAAATGAAATGGCAGAGAAAGGTAAATATGATGGGAAACTTAAATCTCATCAGGAAAGTGAACCTCAACAAGCAATCATTGAAAAGTTTATGATAAACTATTTTTTTAGCTTCCTAGACATGAGTTTGCTTTGTATAACTGGGGAGAGGGGGTGCTGTAAAAACTTGGTGACAGAAGTGGGTGAAGCCAGGGAAAAACAAGAAGCTGGAATGTTGGTCAACCCGAAAGTCCATTGTGGAGAAAAGCCCACAGGTGCCTTTAGCTGACAGTTACCTTGAAGGAAGGCCCAAAACAATGCAAGTGTCTGTGTTTTCCTATTAAATTCCCCAATATTTCTTAGTGTTAAAAAAGTAATTTTTAAAAGTCACACCAGACAAATTATTTTATAAGATAGCATAGCATTGTATGCACCACATATACATACCCAAATTTGCTTTTAAAAATGTAAAAACCAATTGGTAGGCTAGAAATAATTAACTATTCTCATTTTCCTGTGTTTCTCTTGGGGGCTAAAAAAAAAATTCCGAGACTGTTGATCACAAAGAACATACCAAGGCTAATGATGGGGGGATGTATCCAGAATTAGAACTAAAATTTTAATTGTGTTGATTAATAGCTAACTTTTAAGTTTTTCATTATAATTGATAATAAAAATTTTTGAAGTACCAAAGTGGATGGGAACTACATCAGAAGTACAGTTTCCTTCTGTAAAGAACTGATAACTGAGTGACTGAGTGACAGGGAGGGTGAGTTCTCCCATGAGGGATCATCAAAGTCTGTCCCATCATTTGGAGCAGGGCCTGGTCCCTTCCCCAAGTGTCTAGGCTGAGAGAGTATCCTTCCATGGGGAATAAGCTTCCCAAGTCCATTCATGCACTAGGAATAAATACTGGTTCCATTGCCAGAGGCCGCATAGAATGACCCCAACCAAGAATCTAAGCAATAGTGGAGAGGCTACCTTAAATGCTTTAACTTCTTAAAAATAAGTGACAGCAAAGTGGCCCTAGTAGTTGGATTGCATTCTCCGGATGGCATAGCAGTCCTTGCTGAGTGGGGACAGGTAAAGGAGAAAAAGTTGCCCTTTACTAATAGCAACTTTTCAGTTTCTTAGAACAGCAAAAATAAGTGTTTTGGAAATATACTCTAGTATAATCCAGCCTCACTATGTATCTTCCTAACTCCACTATCATGCAACCACTCCTATCTGTGGTCCTATTTACAGTCATTAGGCTTCATTAGCTTAAGAAATCAGTGGGCTAAAAGAGTTTTTTATAGCCCTATATATCATTACTTAGCAGTTTTCAAACTGTGGGTCAACAAATCTATTTACTAAGTCATGATTATAAAGAACTTTCCTGTGGATAGGAGAGAGGAGAACATTATAATAGAAGATGTTAGAGTAGACACTGGGGTGATGCCTCAGAAGTGGGAGGGCTTATTATTCAGTCACAAAATCCCAGCTCCTCTCCTGGCTCCCCATGCCTGGAACCCTAGAGCTACGGTGGAGGATCAACACCACCAGCCAAGGTGCTTAGGTCCAGTGAGAGACTCTGTCTCAAGGGAATAAGGTAAAAAGTGATGGAATGAGGCACTTCGTATCCTTCATTGGCCTCCACACATGCACAGGCACCCGTTTGTGCATGTATGAGCGTGCGCGTGCACGCGCGCGCGCGCGCACACACACACACACACACACACACACACACACTGTAGTATGGTACATATAGGAGCAGATTCCTGTTAAGTAGCCACACACAGGCATGCACCGATGTACCGGCCCACAATGTAGAATGTCCTTGTCATAAACCACAGTCCAAGAAGATATTAGGTTCATATACAAAAGATTATATCAGTAACTTTGTATTTCTAGAAATCGAGTTTAAGGAAGGGGAAACCCAGCACATTGTTGAAATTGAAGTAATCTTCGATGGGGTAAGAGAGATGAGAGAGGCCTTCACTGTTCACCTAAAACCAGATGAAAATATGGTAGCAGAGACACAGGTAAGTGAGGCGATGTGTTTGCAAGGCCAAACTTTTCTTAGAATAAATGCATGTAAGAAGACTCAGGGCTAGAGAGACTGCTCAACAATAAAAAGCACTTGCTGCTCTTGTAGAGGAGCTGAGTGTAGTCCCCAGCACCAACATGGTGGCTCATAACCATCTGTAACTAAAATTCCAGGGGATCCATGCCCTCTTCTGGCCTCTGTGGGCACTGCACACACACACACACACACACACACACACACACACACACACACACAGAACACATATATACATGGAGGCAAAGACTCATGCACATAACATAAAAGTAAATCAATCTTTTAAGAAAACTAATAACATTATACATGAAATGTATATGCTCCCTTTCAACCACCCAAATTTCTGTTCTGATTAGGATCTGGAAATTTCTCTTTGTCTTTGGGAAATTGTGTTGGTGGGAACTCAAAGTTATAGTCCCTAAGCCCCACATCAGTCCTCTCAACCTTCCCATATCAGGACTGAACTTGCAATTGACTGCCAAGAGACATTTATTCAATACTCATTACAGCACACATCTTTACTCACCAAACTCTTTCCTGGCCTTCAAGGTACTAACTTGTTCCCCCAATTTGGTTAGAATTTGAGAGCTGAATGTGTAAACTTTTATAGTCACAAAATGTGTTTTCTCCATCACATCACTGACCAGATTTCTTCAAGATAAATGTAATATCCATGAAATTAGTTTTTTACAGTGGAAATAACTTTTTAAATTACATGCCACCCATAGGGAAAAAATCAATACTATGTTTATATTGCTTTCATTGTTTGGATCATTGTCAATAAGAAATCAAATGGAGGAATGTGTTTTTCTTAAGTATTTTTATTATTCAATAAACATGGTAATTCTGTGACATTGATGTCCTTTAAGGATTTTTTTTAACTTTAATTACTTTTTATATTCATGGTGGGGAGGTATGTGTGTGCCATGGTGCAGAGGACAGCTTACAGGAGTCAGTTTTCTCTTTCCACTGTGTAAGTTCTGGGGATCAAACTAAGGGGGCTGAGACTAGCAGCAAGTGCCTTACCCTCTTAGCCATCTCTCCAGCTGCACAGGTACCCTTTTTAAGTCATATCGATGACTCAAGACCTGTGTCTAGAAAGTCTTGATCAAATAGATTTTTTTTTTGTGTGTGTGTGTGTGTGTGTGTGTGTGTGTGTGTGTGAATCTTTTACTGTTTTTATGGAATAGCATGTGACATTCTTTTGAGTAAAAGGGCAAAGACTCACTAAAATCACTGTCAGTGTTAAAGACTTAAAAATATAGAAATATCTTTGGTTGACTGTGACTCAATTCATATTTCTTTGACTTTGAATTTACTTTTATCTTTTATTCCACAATCATGAGTACTACTACAGTAATGTTTTTCTGATCCATGATGTTCAGTAGGTTAGGAAGATTGAACATGCTCTTCATTTACAGTATTTTCAACTTGGGATGTGTCTATTGCATATAACACTATTGAAAGTACCAAGGTGATGATTGTGAATTGTCCTATCAGTTACCAAATGTAGGAAAGCTGCCAAAAGCCAGGGACATGGGCAGAGGTGATTTTCCTTCTTGACTAGACACTGTCCAAAGCTGCCTTCTGACTAGCTCTCATCTTCTCTCTCCCCTATGTTTCAGGTAGTCCTGGCCTCTGTCCACCCACAGCTTAGCTTCTATCTAGCCTCTCTGCATCACCACAACCCACACAATCCCATGACCTTGAAAGTATCATTTCTCTCAAGGTGTCTGTCAGTTTTCTCCCTCCTACTACCAGCTAATGGATTTCTTGTTCTTGTTGTTGTTGTTGTTGTTCATGTTCAGCTTCACAAACCCAAAACTGATTTATCTAGTATCATAACTGAAGAGAAAATCTTGGAACCTAAGTATCTCATGGGCTAGTGCAAGCCTTGTAAACATTCAAGATGAGCAAGGAACCAAGGTCACATGAAATAAGCTGTGTGTGGCCTACCACTCTGCATGGATGGGGTCTGGGAAGGACAATTTAATCACAAAGATCCAGGGATTTTTCCAGTTATTGTTCTGAATGAGAGAAGTTCCAATGACCTGGATATTTGACAAGTCAATAATCACTCTCCTTTCCTCCCAGGCAACCAAGGCCATTGTGTATATAGAGGAATTCAACAGCATGGCAGATGTCACCTTTCCCTCTGTCCCTCATATTGTGTCCTTGCTGATATATGATGATACTTCCAAAGCCAAGGAGGATGGACCTGTGTCGGGATACCCCGTTGTCTGCATTACGGTAAGTAGGAAATAGAAAAATTGGGGGAAATTTTAAGACAATTTTTAAAAGTTTTATTTTTTGTTTCATGTGTATGAGTGTTTGCCTGCATGTTTGTATGAGTGCCTAGTACAGAGGAAAGAAGTGAGCACCAGATCCCCTGAAACTGGAGTTATAGATAGTTGTAAGCTGCCTGTAGGTGCTGGGGGCCAAACCCAGGTCCTCTGTAAGAACATCAAGTGCTCTTAACCACTGAGCCATCCTCCTAGCCCCATAAGATAACTATTTAAAATAATTATAAATTTTAATAAGTATTGTCTTGGGAAATTTAAGGTTTAAGCTTTGAGCTATGACCAACAGAAAATGACAATAACTGCATGAAGGTCCCATTTTCCTCCTCACAAAACACAACCCAATGAACAAAACCCTATTAACTGAGTACAGGTGTGGTTTAAGAACCTTTAACCATCAGGGAAGTCAGTAAAGAATGAACTCTGCACAGAAGGGATTCAAAAATAAGGACAGGTCGAAAAAATAGGGATCTGTAGCTCTCACATGAGGCCAAGTGTAAGAGCTAGAGTGGACCTGTTTTGAATGTAGGATCAGCTTGTACTATCTTCTTCGAATCCCCCAAGACAGCGCCCCTTACCAGCAGGAAGTAGTTTGGAAAGAACGACACCCAAATTCCCAAATATTGTGTATAAATGTTTGTTTTCATTTAATTGGACTTTGTTATATAAAATTAAATAAAAAATTATAAATAATAATAAAAAAAAAGAGCTAGAGTGGAAGTTCCCATGTGGATGATCAGTGATCAGGTAAACTTTTGACTGTTTAAGATTCAGGTAAGGAGAGATTATTCTGGAAAGGGTGGTTGCCAGGGAGGATGGAAGTGATTCATTACAGGTTCTGCTTGCCTCTGGTAACTGTGAACAAAAGCAGTGACGTATATTTTTTATGTCACAGCAGCCCTAATGAAACACTCCACATGTAACAAGCATACAATGAATGTTCATTGGTTTAACAAGGCATGAATAATTTGGTGTTTGCTTATAATGAGCTCTAAATGTCACTTTAGGCAACTTGGAATTCATTTGTTGGATAGCAGGAAGTAAAGGGTCATGTTGGAATGTTAGTGGGGCAGTAGTGTGTAGCTGGAGTTGGAAAGGGAGAACTTGTATTAGATGGGAAGGAGCCATGGGAATGCTAAGGAGAGGATGAGCTTAAGGAGTGCTACATAGTAGAGCAGCCAAGGCCACCCACTTGCTGGGTATGAAAAGGGAAAGAAAAGGATTGGTTAGCACTCTTGCCGGCCCTGATGGTGTGGCCAGCCTCACAAGAGAAGTAGATTCCAATACCTTTTCTAAGGCAGAGGGAGAGGGGGAAGAGCATGAGAGAAAGAGTAAGAATGACTCTGGGGATTCAGGAGATGGCAATGCAATTAACACTTCTGAGTGTGGTGATGTCCAATGAGCTATTGGAAGTTTACAACTCAGAAAAAATGATCACAGCTGAAGTTGCAGTTGGGGGGGGGGCAGCAGTGAAAGCCTTAGGACCAAAGGAGCTTGAGAAGAGTCGAGTCCACGCTACTCTCTACTTTGGGCCTAACACAGATCTGTTTTCCTCTAGGCTTGCAACCCCAAATATCCAGACTATGACAAAACTGGCTCTATTTGTGCCAGTGAGAGCATCAACGACACTTTGACCCGATACCGGTGGTTGATTAGCGCTCCTGCTGGCCCGGATGGTGTGACCAGCCCTATGAGAGAGGTAGACTTCGACACCTTTTTCACATCATCCAAAATGATCACGTTAGACTCCATATACTTTCAGCCTGGCTCCCGGGTTCAGTGTGCAGCTCGTGCAGTGAACACCAACGGAAATGAAGGCCTGGAACTGATGAGCCCCATCGTCACCATTGGCAGAGAGGAAGGTGAGAGACTTTCCCTGTGAAGGTTGCTGAAACACTGCAACATGGCAAACATCTCATTACTGTGCATAAACTCCTTCAAGTGCCCATGTGTGTCATAGAACTCCACCTAAAGATGAGCAACCAATTTTACAATAGTCTTCACAAGCACCTGTGGTGTGCTAGGTAAAGAGCAATAAAGGAGGGCTCCCGTACTCCAGGGGCCCATGGGAAAATTGGAGACACAGGTAGTTTGAGTCTGGTCCCACACAGAGGAGCTGCCGAGGTGAGTCTTGAAAACACAAGAAGTGACTCTAAGAAGCACAAAGGAGGAATATGAACTCTCTGGGAGTGACAAGCCTAAATATGGGGGAATTTGTGAGAGAATATGGAGGAAGAGTAAGATCTGGACTGGAGGGGGTCCTATACCAGGTAAAGAGGCCCCCTGGCTGTATTGCATGCATGGGAATCTGCTGGGGACACAGGTGAAGGATGATGTAGGTAGAGAGCCATGTGCACACAATCTTACCTCCTCACCGAAGGGAGTCTGGGTTTGAAGCTGGAGCCCAGCACACGGGGTTAAAAGTGCATAATAGAATATGGCTAGATGCAACACTGTCAGGAAGTAATCCTTCACCCTGAGTCGAGATGTTTAAGTGTGGTTTTGTTGTTGGTTTGGCTTGGATTTGGTGGGTTGGGTTTTGTTTAAGTTTTGTTTATTTCTAAGTGTATGTACATGTGCCTGCATTTATCTGTATGCTCCATGTGTATGCGGTGCTCACTGAGGTCAGTAGAGAGTATCAGATGCCCTGGGAGTTACAGATGGCTATGAGCCACGCTGTGGATTCTGAGAACTGAACCCAAGTCCTCCACAAGAACAGCCAGTGCTCCTAACCACCGAGCTGTCTCTCCAGCCCCTTGGGTTTGCTCTTAGAAGTGCTGAGAATGGAACCCAGGTTCTTACGAATGTTAGACACCTCTGTCTTAGACTCTATTCCTAAATTAAATGTACATGCACATTTATATTTAAAATTTGTTTACTCTCGCATTAAGGAACTGTGTTTAGGTAGCTGGGTTGATGGCTCAGTGGTTAAGGGCATGTACCAGAGGACCCAAGTTGAATTGCAAACACCAGCCTCAGGTGGCTCACAGCTGTAGGTCAGGCTCCAGGGGATGTGATAGGCACCTGTGAGATCGAGCACACACACGTGTGTGTGTGTGCACGTGCACACGTGCTCGAGTTTGCACACAATTCTTTTTTGTTGTTGTTGTATAAGTATATTTAGGACTTGAAATTATAATGCAGTATAGCTCTGGAATCAATTCCAGCACTGTTAAAACACACACTCACTTTTAGTTTTATTCACCAATAAGTAATGTTTATTATAGCTAATATTTAATACATATTTCATGCTTCGTCATATTGTTCTAGAGTAACGTTCAGATTCACTTCGTTTAACTATTCTTTGTATTGTATTGAATTGTATTGTATTTCAACCATTTTCATCTTATCTGTCTACATTATACAGTAATTTTGTGACTGTGTCCCTGGCCTAAATGGTCATCATATAATAAGTCAGTATGGCCAAGGACTGCTGAGAGGTCCCAGAGTGCATGCTGTGGTCGCCTCTCACGCAGTCTTTCTGCTTCCTTATGACACACATTTTCAGCCAGGTCTTAGATCACAGGGAATTTTAAAATATAGAAAAACTATAGCACCAACATTAAACCATCCTTTACCTGCTGTCATCTTCTTTTTAGCAATAACGTGCTCGTTTTCTTCAAGGTCTCTGTCAGCCCCGTGTGCCTGGGGTAGTGGGAGCCGAGCCATTCTCTGCTAAATTACGCTACACTGGTCCTGAGGACCCAGACTTCGCAAACCTCATCAAGCTCACTGTCACGATGCCACACATAGATGGTAAGTACCCTGGGAAAAGAAAGGCCTTGAACACATAGACGGTAGGTATTCTGGTAAAGCAAGACCTTAGGAGTATCTTGGGGTATTTGTAACCTCATTTGTCTCGCTTCCCTAATCTTCAGTTTGCAAGCTGACTTTCAAGTCCACCTGCCTCTCAACTCTTTCTACCCAGCTCTGAAAGTCTGTCAGCTCAAAAAGCATTCTTTAAAACTAAAATAAAAATTCAGTAAGAGCAGACGGTGCTTCCCTGTGCTTCCCTGCAGGGATGCTGCCCATCATCTCCACGAGAGAGCTGTCCAACTTTGAGCTGACCCTCAGCCCTGATGGCACTAGAGTTGGCAACCACAAATGCTCCAACCTGCTGGACTACAACGAAGTAAAGACCCACCATGGCTTCTTGACTAATGCCACGAAGAACCCGGAGGTCATGGGTGAGACCTATCCTTACCAGTACAGTGTGCCGGTCAGAGGTTCCAGTACCTTGCGCTTCTACCGAAACCTGAATCTAGAAGCCTGTCTCTGGGAGTTTGTCAGCTACTATGACATGTCAGAGCTCCTGGCCGACTGTGGAGGCACCATTGGGACAGATGGCCAGGTACACATTCCAACATATGAGCCTTGCTCCTGGGACAAACCCGCTGCTGTCAGTAGTTCTGTCAGTAGTTTCCTAACCTCAACTATTATCTTGGTATTGTTAGTCATTAATCACAGAGGGACAGCTGGTGAACTGTATCGAAATCTGTCATATTAATGTATGAGAGATACACAAAAATCCTCCTCCCACACCATCAAAAGAACACTTCTAAAATAATAAGTAACAGTCTCCACTTAGGTTATAATTTTTAAAAATCTGAAGTTTGCATTGAAAATTTGAACTAAAATCTTGACATAACAAAAAGTTACAGAGGCCTATGTGTTAGCCGCAAATAATGTGCAGAATGCACCATACCTTTCAATATTTAGCCAAGGGGAGTCTAATAGAATTGGCAGTCCCTGAAGGTATATTTCAAAAGGCTTTATTCCTGCAGGGTTAAACATAAAATAAAGGGGAAAGTCTCTGGTAACTGACCATCAGTTTACCCCTACAGCAGAGCTGTGGAACTCAACTATCTCAGCCACTGTTGATGTTAAATGGGTAGCCTCTCATGTTGTCTGGAAGCTAGTGGGTAGCAGCTGTTAAGACTTGTTGTCCTCAAAAATCAGATGAGTCAGTAAATAGAGTGAATTAAGTGAAGGCCCAAGTTAAAGCAGCAACATAAAAGTGGTGTGAAGTGGTGAGAAGAATCAAGGTAAAGGTGGTGTGAATTGGTGGGGAAGAGCCTGATACTGTAATCAAGCAAACGCACAGTTGACATTTGGTTCTGATGCATTCTATCTGTGTGTCTCCAGAGACACGTTACATAAAGCCTTCGTCGGGGTAGTCCATTGGGTACTTCTTCCTCCTTCTGTCTTTGCCACATGGAAAGGGAAAAAAAAAAAAAAAAAAAAGGAAAGAAGAGAAAAGCAAAACACTACCTCAGCCTTCTCCTCATACATCACACACCCTTATCTCTTCCTCCCAGAGCTTGTGCAGTCATTATAAAATCACTGTCCCCTTCCTGATCGCTCCAGACACAGGATCAATTGGCATAAATGAAATAGGACATTGCCACAGGACTGCACTGTAGTCAGTTGGGTCTCTGTTGGCTTGGCTTGCTTCTCCATGTTCCAGAGTGTCTCTGTGGGCCTGTTTGTGGTCTCTTTCCACCCACGGGAACGTCTTTTGTCTTCCCCACATAGTGGAACTACATGTCTGTCTTTCATATGTCACCCGGATAGCTAGTTTTCCCAGTGTACCCCTGCCTTCACCCTGCTAAAGCTTATTCTGCCTTTTAGAGCCAACTGTAATATGCCAAACTTGCTTTGACAGAGAGGCTTGCCTCTGAGGTGTTTAATTCTTCAGACTAAATCTGGTGACTAAATGTTAAATGTTCATTTAAACTGAAGCGACTTTGCTAGGTTTTTGTTTTGTTTTGTTTTTCATTGTCGTTGTTGTTTTATGCTCATCATTTGTTGAATCATTTGGGTCCAGAGATATTTTGTGTTCAGTGACCTCAAGTAACTGAAGCCAAGGCTGTGTTTTTCTGTTGTTGGGCAGGAACTGGCAACTGGCAGTTTAAGCCAGGTTTGTCTTTCGTGAAAAGGGCTTGTATAACACACTAGGAATGAGAGCAGGCACAACCTAAAGTCGGTCAATCATATTTATTTATTTATTCACACATATGGACATTTTGCCTGGTACCCACAGAAGTCAGCGAAAGGCATCAGGTCCTATGGTGTTGAAGTTATGGATGGCTGTAAGCTACCATAGGATTTGATAGGACTTGAATCCAGATTCCTGGAAAAGCAGCTAGTGCTCTTAACTACTGAACCATCTCTCCAGCCCCCAGATTATCCAGTCCCTAACCATTTCATATAAGCCTTTCCAGTGGATGGCCAACATATAAGAAACTCTTCTGAGAAGTTTTTCTAAAATCAACCTAATGACGGAATGATGGTGATCAACAACAATGAGAAGAGATCCGGTGTGACCCACTGGGGTCCCAGGTTCTATTCTGAAATTCTACAGCCTTCAGTGTAATCTGCATGGTAACAAGCTGGTGAAACACATTGCTTCCACTCTAAAAGCATAGCTTAAAGGTGGACACCTCACTCACCCCTACATTCTTCCTTGGCTTAAACTTCAGTTTCTGTACAGGCAATCATCGATGCCTTCCTATTTTCTCTCCATAGCATACATACTGCTGAACCAAGGGTAAAGGAGAAGAAACAGAAGTTAATATAAAAGAAAGCTAGCCCTCCAAGACATCCCCTTCCTTTTCCTCCATTCCTTTATGAGTCTGGGTGAAGAAAAATGGTCAAATGGTAGTTCCAACAATTAAGATAATAGCACTAGCATGAGGATATAGCTCAGTTGGCGGGGTGCTTGCCTAATATACATGAAACCCTAAGTTTAGCCAGCATCACACAGACCAAGTGTAGCAGTGTTCACCTGTAGTCTCAGTACTCAGAACTAGAAACGAAAGAACTAGAAACAAAAGGCCAGCCTGGGCTACATAAGACCCTGTCTCAACCAAAAATAATAACAATGATGGTGACAGAATGATAATAACTAATAAATTTACACTTAAATGTGTGCCTACCACTTTTCTAAACATATTGTATATACCCATTCTTCCTAACCTCACAATAACTCCATAAAAATAAATACCACACCCCACTCCACCCACTCCCATTTACAGATAAGGAAAGAGAAGCAAAGAAAACTCAGATAACTTGTCCCAATTCATGGTAGCTTGTGTGTCTGTGCTGGTAACTCACTGCGTGCTTATCCTTACATGTAATTGACTATGAAAACAGATGTTTACAAGAAAGCCAACTGAGCTTCCTTCTATCTCTCAAAGATAAATGTTGCATAGTAACCATTATTAAAACAATGTGCAGCCCTGGCTGGCTTGGAACTCATTGTGTAAAGTAGGCTGCCATGGACTCAGAGATTCACCTGCCTCTGCCTCCTGAGTGCTAGGATTAAAGGTGTGTGTCACCATACATGCTAGACTCATAACTTGATGGCTTCATGATGTTTCTCTTTTGAGCATTTATTCATAACATATGTAACCATATTTCTGTGGTTGTCCATTAGTTTGTGTATAATTCCATGTAGCAAGCATCCCTTGAAATTGTCCTTCATTGTACAAAATTAATGGCTCAATATTGATGCCTACCCAGGGTCTGTGCCTTCCTCTGATTTGCCAACCTATCAGTAATTAGGCAGAAGCCAAGGTCTCCTTGCTCTTAATCACTCTTTGATGGATGTTACTCATAGAATTTGGCTAAGAATTTGAAATAGTCCCCTCAACTGAGCAGCTAACTGCACACTGTGAGACTTGAAGCTTTAGCTTTTGATGGTGACATTTTTGTGGGTTTTGTTTTTTTGGGGAGTTTTTTGTTTGTTTGTTTGTTTGTTTTGTTTTGTTTTTCAAGACAGGGTTTCTCTGTATTGCTTTGGTAGAGCCTGTCCAAGAACTAGCTCTGTAGACCAGGCTGGACTCGAACTCACAGAGATCCACTTGCCTCTGCCTCCCGAGTGCTGGGATTAAAGGCATGCGCCACGAATACCTGGCAATGGGTGACATTTTTATATAGTCACCAATACCTTCATCTTGATAGATGTTTGAGGCAATAAAAGGCATAAGAGAAACACATCACAATAGGGGCAGTTCCCACCAGTGATATCTCTGAACAAGAATTCTAACAATTCTTTCAGGTAAATACAAACTACATATTCTGCATTAAAGAGCCATATGCATATGCTGGCAAACAATTTTTCAATGGTTTTTGTTTCTAATACATGTGGCCTAATTAAAAGACCTCGGATATTGGAATCTATGTCTGTGCTGCCCAGTGTGATTGCCATCTGCTATGTGAGACAACTGAGTATGGTGTCTAGCATGGTAACCACCAGCTATGTGAGGCTAATGAGCCTTCTAAATGGAGACAGAGTAACATGTCTCTGTATGTGTAATGCTACAATGCCAGCCCCTACCCATCTCACATGCAGAGTATCCCCCTTGCTCAGGCCCTTAGGCAAACTATCCTCAGTAGCAGAATATGAATTTGACAATGTGTTACTTTGTCCAGTATATTTGTTCCCTTTAAATATAATCTTAAAATTACTTTTTGCCCATGTTAATAAACTCTAAATGTCAGTAAGGGAAATGCCAGTTCACTAATTGGACCTCAGTTGATGATTTGTACCTTTAAAGGTCCTGAGGTCAAGGTTAAAAGGAATTGAATGCTCTGAAAAGTGGCATCAGAAATTAATGGTTGTATTGGAGTTTTCTGTTGAAGAAAAAGTCAGGTAACTGAATGACTGAAGTAGGTTCCATTTCATCTCCTGTCCCCTTCAGGCAGAGATTCTAAATAATCAAGAAAACCTGGCCCTAAATAAGAAAACAAATTTATAAAATGAGGGGAGGTCCTGTGTCCAGAAGTCACTACATTGAGAATTAAACAACGTGAAGCCAGGCATGGAGACTTGTTATCACAGCACTCAGGAGGCTGAGGCAGGAGGATTGCCACTAGGCTACATAGCAAGTCCTGAAAAGTTAAATAAAATCAAACTAGAATCATGCAGAATGATATATTCCAATAATCTTATTGAGAGTAAATGCTAAAACTCCCCCCTGAACAGTGCTCCGCGTAACATCTGGTGGAGAGCATGTCAATATTGGCAATTACAAAGCCACATCCTCTAATTTGAAGTCCATACCTGAAGCCTAACATTTTAGCTGATGGATTATTAAAGTCACAGAATAAGAGATGAATCATACTCACCAGTGGCATATGAAGTGACCAAGTCACTTTCCCAGACAGCCAAAGTGCTAACTGACCTTTAGAACTCACTGTTTAGTGGTAATAATTAAGGCTGCTCTTGGAAAACGTATCTTAAAGCATTCAAGTTACAAGGCACTGACTTATCAGGGAGCAGGGTGTGTCTGCTTCCTACAGATGAGAACTAAGAAGTTGCTCGTCTGGTGGGTGGTTCCTTCTCATTATGTGTGTTTTCATGACTGATTTGGATTGTGTGTGTGACATGAGGACTTTGCTCTTAACTCTGTGATAGTGTGGCATATATCATAGTGCAGTTCTCATGATAGAAATGTGTGTCTAGTTCTTATGTCGATTCTTTGTAGGAGACTAGTTCCCATAGCCTGATTGGAACATCCAAGAAGAGTCAAGTGGCTATTTCCTCTTGCACAGATAGGTGTTGTGATTGCTGCACTGGTCCTTGGAGCATTGGGAGATTACAATGCAGTCATTTCTGTTAGGTGGTTTTAGGACTGTTCCTCATTGTATAGAATGTAGTAAAGTGTGGGAAAGATCAACATGGGCTCAGAGAGTTCTGGTGAAGAGGGGGATGGAGAGATGCTCTGTGGTTATGGGCACTGGCTGCACCTGCAGGGTTTAGTTCACAGCACCCATATGGTGGTCACAACTGTCTATAGCTCAAGTTCCAGTGTATTTGATGCTTCTGAAATCTGTGGGTACCAGGCATGCACCATGTCCTACACATACATACATTGAGGCAAAACACACATGCATATAAAATAAAAATAAGTTTTCAAAAATTCTGGTGAACTTGTCTAATTTCTCTGAGTCTTCACTTTTCTACCTCTTTGCTTTCTATCCATCATCTATCCATTCATCAAACTACCTTGCATACATACAGTTATGAGAATGAACATACTAAATAACCTCATTAGTAACCAATGCATTGTCTGGAAATTGGTAGATACTTGATAAGTGTTAATTTATCCTCTTGACCTCCCTTACCCCATTGTTGAATACCAGAAGAAAGAAAATATAAAATTCAAAGACAGTTCATTTAATTGTTTTGAAATATCATAACTGTACCATGTCATTGCTAAAAGTTTGTTTTCACATCTTTATGTCCATCCAAACTTCCTCTATATAAATAAAAATGAAACAAATCATAGACACATTTTTCATAATAGTTCCAAACTCACACCATTCCTGTGATGAGGATCAATAAAATGGAATGTATCTACATATCAGGCTGTTATCCCTTAATAAAAGGAATAAACACATTGAAAAATGGCACTGGCAAGACCCATTTTTGCATGTTCAGAAGAGGCAAATACAGGGCGTGGATGAGTGGTCACCGGACCATGAGCAAGGTGACTTCTCCCGGGTTCTCGATTCCCATGGAAGTAATGAGAGGTTCCTAAAGTTAGTTGTGGTGGTGGTTGCATGGCTCGTTGGACACATCAAAACCCTCTTGACTTAGCCACCGAAATGGGTGAATATTGTGGTATGTGACCTGTACTTTGATAAATCTGCTGTAAAGTAAAAAGGACTGCCTTTGCTGAAAACAGTGTTTATTTTAAGGAATGTTGGCGCACATCCCTGCTGCCTGTGACGGTGGTAACAATGTATGTAAAGTGAGGAAAACACAGTGGTGTAAAAAGAGATGGCTTCTGCAAAACTGGGCTGGTTTGGTTAGCACTGATGCAGATAATTTCATTGTTTTAGGTCCTAAACCTAGTGCAGTCCTACGTGACCCTCCGAGTTCCTCTTTATGTTTCCTACGTGTTCCATTCGCCTGTGGGAGTGGGGGGCTGGCAGCATTTCGACTTGAAGTCAGAACTCCGGCTCACGTTTGTGTATGACACGGCCATCCTGTGGAGCCACGGAATCGGCAGCCCACCAGAAGCCGAACTCCAAGGTGGGTTGGTGCGACTCCTAAAGTGACTTTCTTACCTATTATGGTAATGATTCAGGAAGGTAATTTGTTTTTATTGCACGTAAAAGTAATGGGAGCACCTTTTAATACATTTTATTTTTATATCCACTAATAGTGTGACTTTTTAAACCGTTGTCATGCATAGAAAACTCTTGTTTAACAAAATCATACCAATGCCTCAAACTTTGCATGAGGTGTGAAATTTAACTTCTTTATTTCAGGTATACTCCACTCTGTCTATTTTAAGTGACAGCTTGGTTTTTGTAAACTAAAATTGTAAAAAAAAAAAAAAAAAAAAAAAAAAAAAGTACCATAGTCATTTTAGTCATTTGTGTATTTTATAGTAACTTGACTCATATTAGTTAATTCATTTGCCCCCATTGCTCCTTATAAAAGAAACTTGTACCACATATTATTATATTATTACTATTACTATTATTTAGAATTCATCCGCTCATAGAGGAGAATCCATACCCTAGGGTCTCTGGCCACCTGTATTTTTACACTCTCGTGCTTCTCTGTAGGCTCGCTCTATCCGACCAGCATGCGCATTGCTGAGGATGGACGCCTGGCTGTGAACTTCAAGACAGAAGCTCAGTTCCATGGCTTGTTTGTGCTGTCACATCCTGGTAAGCCTATGTCCATGAGCAGCCACCTCCCATACAACTATATGAACATCTTCACATCCACACAGGTCTCAACACGCATCCTAGCTATCATTGAAGCTCTTTATTCATATGAGTTCAACATGTGTAATTATGTCCTTAATGCTTGGTCATTGCCCACCAATACCTCACTCTATTGGAAAACTATCGCTACGCAAACTTTCAGAGAAGATGTAACATCCCTGAATATACAGAACAGAAAGCCTTCCATAAAGCACACAGAATAACTGTCATTTCTGGGCTTTGTTTCTGTAATAGAAAAAAAACTTCATTTCAGTCAATTCATTTTGCCAGCACATTTCTGCTCTCCCCCTCCCCCTGCACCCTCTCTAGGGCTGTGAAAACCTTTGAATGGAGACAGAAGTGGTATTTTGCTTTCATACTCAAGCTTCAGACATGTTGACTGCGGTCAATAGAAATAGAGACTGGCTGTGCTTTGAATACTGATAAGACATCTGCCAAAAGCTCATACTTGTTTGTTTTACAAAGGCTATTTCATTAGAAGTGGTTCATTTTTTCTTTCGCTTTCCACATTGTCCAGTTGGTTTCCCATGTTACTGCAATGCCGCTTCTATTGGGTTGGAAGAGGAAGCATTCGCTATCTCTGCAGCCATCCTTTTTCTGTGCACAAGCTCTAAGAAAGGAGAAAACAGCTGAATGTCCAAGAAGAAAAGAGGGCCTGTTGTAATTTTTTAAGCAGAATAATCTGTAAGAAACACAGGACCAAAAGGGCCTCATATGGTCTCATTGTGGTGATGAGTTCTTGGAGAGCGAGGATTTCCTGGACTTTGAGGTGTCCTCTAAGTGCCCACCTCTCCAATGAACTGGATCTGTGATTAGCCCCGGTTGCAGGACATCAAATTAGATTAGAGTTCATTCATAAGATGGCTTTGCTGATGGAATATCTTAAGTTCAGCTCATGGCTTTGGTGTGCTCGCCAAGCATTCACTCAGCCTGGGTTGCCCTGCACGAGACTCCCTGGAGAAAGAAACCTGAGCACCTACATTTTGGCTTAATTATGTAGACCAGAAAGGCAGTAAATGAGGAGTCCAAAGTCTCCATATCTAGGAGAGCTTTGGAGAATCCCATAGTCATTCTCTGCCCAGGTTTTATTATTATTGCTGCTGTTGTTGTTTTTCAATGTAGACAAGCATACCAACCTTGAAGACTTGTAAGAACGAATTAAAAACTAGGTGACCCAGTACTTTGGAAACTGCATGGTTGTAGACCTTTTCAATTCAACCTCTAAACCATTGTGACATTTGGTATTTTTCCAGCCTCCTTTACCAGCTCAGTGATCGTGTCTACTGACCATCCAGGCCTCACTTTTTCCCTCCGCCTCATCAGGAGTGACCCAACCTATAACCAACCAGCCCAGCAATGGAGCTTTGTGTCAGACTTCGCAGTAAGTGTAACCAAGTCCTTTCTCTGCTGCCCTCTGATGACACTACACATTTCAAATACCTTCTCCCCTCCTCACAGGTTCGAGACTACTCAGGCACATACACTGTAAAGTTGGTGCCTTGCACTACCCCACCCAACCTGGAGTACCGACTGCCTGTCACCTGCAATCCCAGAGAGCCTGTCATCTTTGACCTTGACATTCGATTCCAGCAGGTATATATCCCAGAACTATCAGAATGGAATCCACTTTATTCAAAGTCATGATTTTCTTTAATCAGCACATGTGTTTTCACAAGTGGGTGACCTTTAATTCTCGAATAGTGAGAGAAAAGGAAGTTGGACAGGAAGGAACCAAGGGGGAGAAAAGGAGAAAGGGACTCTCTTTTGTCTGCTCTTATTTCAACATAAAGCTATAGTCTCAGTTTGTGGAAGAGCTATTGAGTTGTTATGTAATCTTACTTCTCTCCTGCAATGGTCTGTCTTGGAGGTGTGACAATTTTCTATAGAAGTCTACACTTCATAGTATTCTCAGTCTTCAAGTAATATGAGAATCCACCTCATATTACATAACTGGACTAGGCATTTGCAAAAGTCGAATACCAGCCTTGGTCCAAGAACTTATACTGTTAGCCTCCTGCTGACCATATTTTAAAATACTTTACATATGTGCTCTGATCAACCTGTAGATACAAGTGCAAGTGATGCCACTTACTCTCACTCAAGAAGAAGAAAGGGTGTAACATCACCAGTTTTGTTTCACAATAGCAGAATCAGAACGATAGCTCCTTAAGCTACTTTTGCTGGACACCACTTCAAGGACAAGTTCTGCATGGCAGTGTGTGATGATAGTGTGTCTGTGAGCAATGTGGTCTGTGCTTGTAGACACCAGGTTTCCCCTTTGGCTTAGGTCAGCGACCCAGTTGCAGCCGAGTTTAGCCTGAACACTCACATGTATTTGCTGTCTAAGAAGAGCCTCTGGTTGTCCGATGGATCCATGGGATTTGGGCAAGAAAGCGATGTTGCTTTTGCAGAAGGTAACACTTGCCAGATAAGAAGATGACTGAGCTGTCCTGCATGACTGTGATGTTCTGTTGCCCTATGTGGCTGTGGTGTTCTGTTGTCCTGTGTGTCTGTGATGTTCTGTTGTCCTACATGTCTGTGATGTTCTGTGTCCTGTGTACCTATTATGTTCTGTTGTCCTGTCTGTGGTTTGTTGATTTATTAACATTTCCAGGAGGAAGCCTGTAGCCTCTTGGACATGATAGATATGAATCTGTCTCATTTTGACTTACACAAAGAATAACTAATATTTGGTATATGACACTGAATGTTTTTTTACATTCCAGGAAATATAACCTCCATCTAAATTCCCCAAGTGACTTTTGGAGAAGTCTGGGTTTTTTGCTCATTTGTTTTCCAGAATTCTTTTTTAATTTTCTTATGTTGAAATGTCTGGGCTGTGTAATACCTCAGTGGTGAAGACTGTGTCTCTCTTGTTTGATGCTATATACTCAACACCTAGCAAAATACATGGGCTGCAGCAACAGCTGTTGAGATGTAGGGTGCAATGTCAGGGGCTTTGCTAAAACCACCTTCAAAAGTAAATGAACTGAATTAGGCTTTTTAGTGATGTTTTCTTTCTTAGTGTTCTTTTAGGTTGTATTAGTCAACATCTCACCAACTAATTAACTCATGTAAATTGGACTTTACCTACAAGAGATGCTATAATATCAAGTGATAGATCAGACCTTTAGATTACTGCCACACAGGTTGAGAATCAGGGGTCGAGAATCAATATGCTTTGCTTCTCTGTGCTTAGTCTACAGGGTCCTGGGAAGTAGAGCAGATCCTGAAGTTTACACAGAAAGATCCTCAGTGTTCAGTGACATGTTAGGGGGCAAAGGAAATAAGCCATGTCATTGTTGTCATTCATAGTTCAGGGTGTTACCACATGTAACGGAACTGCATTTCTATCTCTGTTTTAGGGGACATGATTTATGGTCGCGTCATGGTGGACCCTGTCCAGAACCTTGGTGACTCCTTTTACTGCAGTATTGAGAAGGTGTTCTTATGCACAGGGGATGATGGCTATGTGCCAAAGTACAGCCCAGAGAATTCAGAATATGGCTGCCTGGCTGATTCTCCTTCGCTTTTACATAGATTTAAAATTGTGGTAAGTGCTTTGACCCAATGAACTGTATCAAATGTCAGGGATAAGCCTTCTTATCTTATATTTTAAAACAATATTACCATTTTATTTAAATTACATAATGACTTTTTTTTTTTTTAACTGTGATTTGTACTTGCCCAAAGTTACAGGAGAACTTTGTCCTTGCAAACTTATCGTTGGCACAAAAGTAACCATCTTCCTTCTTGCTTCAAGGATAAGGCTCAGCCTGAGACGCAAGCTACCAGCTTTGGAGATGTCTTGTTTAATGCCAGACTGGCAGTGGATGACCCTGAAGCCGTTCTCTTAGTGAATCAGCCTGGATCAGATGGATTTAGAGTAGACTCCACACCACTCTTTCAGGTAGGTCCAGACATACAGTAGCTACATAACTAGTAAGAACTTAACCTGCTGCCTCTGGCATAGCATAGGGAAATGGAAATACAAGCAGTCATGCATGTAGTGAATGGGAAGAATGGGAATGTTTAATGCACCCTAAATTCTATTATCTCATTAATGTATTAATATAGGACAGTTTAATGGCGGCTGGAGAGATGGCTCAGTGGTTAAGAAGAATATACCTCCACCTTCTGCATTTGTGCACACAAAATACCCATTCACATAAAATAAAATAAATAATCTTTTTTCCCCAAAGAATGTGTAAAGAAGACTCTTATTCAGCTTATCACACATGTCTGACAGTTGAGCAATTTACTTTCCTTAATCAAAGTTTTTTTTTCCTGTGTTTTTATGATCCATCATTTTTGAGTAAGGCCTTATATAAACTGAGAGGCTCAGAAAAGCAGTCATGGACAGGAAATAAAATATCTACTCTTGAATATTCCATAGACCAAGACCAAAAATCCTGTCCCAGAGACAGAAGGTGTAAAGAGATATAGGTAGTTATGATGATGCTAGACAGACATGCATGACACCTAGAAATGTGCCTGTGTCGTGGGCAAATGTGTTCTTTAGGATAGTTATGGGGAAATCCATACACAAACAGGGGACATGTGTTATTCTTTCTCAACCTCAGGTAAAACTGTGTGTGTGTGTGTGTGTGTGTGTGTGTGTGTGCTAAAGGAAGGGAGAGAGAGAACATATACCCACATTACAGGGTACATACCTGTGCACACATGTACACATGAATGTGGAGGTCAGAGAACTCTTTGGGTTCTCTTCTCAGGAACTGTCCACCTTATTTTTGAGTCAATGCCCTGGAACTCACCAAGAAGGCCAGGCTGGCTGTCGAGTAACCCCTAGGAGTCCAATATTTTCCATCTTCCTAGTATGGGGACTAAGGCTTTGGGCCACCATGTCCAGCTCTTTTACTTAGGTTCTGGGGTCCTCAGGCTTGCAAGGCAGTGCATTATCAACTGATCCATCTCAGAGGAAGGACACAGAGAAAGCCTATTTCTTCCTCTGAATCTTTTCAAACAAGTATTCTACCATTTTCATTCTGAACTCTTAAAACAGCTCACTTTCTGAATATCTCAAAGGATTATTGTAAAAACATTCCTTTTTCCAGGTGTTGGAAAAAGCTTAAAACGGATTTGCCTGTAGGGTATGGTGGCATCACTTAGGAAGCAGAGGCTAGCATATCTCCATGAGTTCCAGTCCAACCTGGTCTACACAGTGAACCCAGGGCTAAATTGTGAGACACTTTCCCACAAAATAAACTAAGAAAAAACCTGATTTCCCAACCCCCCATGGTTTTGCAGGTAAATAAGTAACTGTGGATAAGCTGAGGCTCTGAAGGTTTGGGGTGTGGGTCTTCCTATAGCATTAATCAGATGAAAAAGAACTGAGTATGTTCTTATCCACCTACTTTTTAAATTAATAAGATAGACTGAAAGATCAGAAGAAAATTTACAGTGTTTTTGTGACTGCAAACGCAGTACATAGCCACCTAAAAGTAGTATTAGGATGGTCTGAGGGCATAAGGCAGTGATATAGCACTTATCTGGCATGTATAAAGACCTGATATCAAACCCCCAGACTGCAAAAAACAAGGGTAGCGTGAGTTACACAGAGTGCATTGTGGAGTTGGGGTGCTTGATACAAAGCCTGTCACTGAAGAGTGTGGTGTAAATTAATTCACAGACAGAATGATCATTTATAATGAATGCTGTCATTAATTTCTCTTGCAAATAGTTCTGATATTGGGCTTACATGGAATTGAGCTTCCTAACACATAGGATTGTGTTTTCTAGGTTGCTTTGGGCAGAGAATGGTATATACACACAATCTACACGGTCAAGTCAAAGGACAACAGCCATCGAGGTATTGGCAAGAGGAGCCTGGAGTACCTGTACCACTCTGTGGTGCATCAGGGACATCCCCAAGCAACTACCAAGAGCTGGAAGAAGAGAGCAATCAGGAGCACACCCTCACTGGCACGGGAAATCGGTGCTGAGAACAATCGGGGGACAAATCTCCAGCATATCTCCCTGGACCGTCGTGACAAGAGGCAGGTCCCCTATGGAAGAATTCCTCCTGATGGCATCCTGCCCTGGGAGCTCAATAGTCCCAGCTCTGAAGTCAGCCTTGTCACTGTCTTGGGAGGCGTTGCGGCGGGATTGCTCATTGTCTGCCTGGCTGTGGTTGCAGTCCTTGTGTGTAAGAACAAAAGCATCAAGGGCAAGAATGCTCCCCAGGGCTCTGGAAGCAGTGAGCCCATGGTGCTTCCACAGAACCACTACAGTGACAGCTCGGAGGTGTGACCACCTGGTCATGTGCCTCAGAAAAAAACTGTGCAAGAACCCCAACTGTTTTGGGCCAGCAGAAGAGAATTGGAACTTCCCATGACATAGGTGCTTAGAGACCCTGACTGTAATAGAAGATTTTGATTTAAACTCCACTGCATTATACATGCATCAAAGGTCAAATCCAGGCCACCTCTTTCCTGCTGCCCAGAAGGCATCCGAGATGCTTAGAGCCTTGGGTGGATGTCAGGGGAGGTGCTTCTTATTTTAGGCATCAGTGGAGATGAACCTACTCAGTGATGCTCAAAGGTGCTAAAGGACTCTCTGGGATGTCTGAGAGACATTTCCTGTTATGTTATTGTTACATTAGTGGGGACTTTTGACAATGCAGTTATCACATTGTTTATTCATTGTATAACTAAAGAATCTAATTAGTAGTCCGAAAGGGTGATGAACACACTGTTATGACAAGTTTTCTAATCCATGAAGACAGCATGAAGCCATGACCAGGGCTAGTTCAACCCACAAATCACCTCTTACTATTGGGAAAACATAGGAAAAAAATGAATAGAAAAAGGGAAATGCCTCATTTGGATCAAATAGCTTCTCATTCTCAGACCTCATTTGTCTTGTTTGCTTATTTAACATTAAGTTAAACCAAAGAATATATTAATTCTGGAAATGATTTTTAAGAGACTGGTGTGTTTAGTATATAGAAGCAGCCACACTCTTACTAATCAACCTCACTGGTATCCAGCCTTAGTGGGGAGCGAGAGAGTTGTAGAATTGACAACAAAGAGATGCCATAGAGTTATATTCACCACAGGACAATGTTCTTAAGAATTGAGCCTAGATGTTTGCAGTACTGAACCCATAAATAATGAGAAACATCTCTACCAATGGTGAAGGGTGAAAGTAGAACTGATCGGCATGCCATGTACAACCAGAATGCCTCTTAGGAATGCTATCTAAAACAGTGACAGCAGGTCATGTTAGCCCTCAGGGTAACACCCACACAACAACATCCAGTGCTTGTAGCAACCATCAGAAATTGTATTAGGTTTATATCTGTCTAAGTAATGGGAATCTCTATACATGTCACTCCAGAAATTGTCTCGGAGGTGGCCGGTGATGTCAGTCACACTCTCCATTGATCCAGGAATATCTGTCTAGCCCCTCTAGTTCAGTGAGGCGGTGCTATGAGATTCCCCCTATGGGACTTTATCTGTGGTTTGTCACTTTGCTTATTCACTGTGTAAAAGTTTCCTTGGCACTGCCTATCTCTGCAGAAATGTGTTTTTACCCTACATCAGAAATTCTGTTCAGAAGAGGGGCATTTCGGCAGAGTTATGGCCACATCCCTAAAACCTAGTAAACATATTTCATACAAAGATGAAGTGCCTTTGCATTGTAAACATAATCCTCCAGCGTTGCATGGAGTCCTTCACACTTCAGCCACACCCTGGCCAGGCTGGGCTTCCCGGTAGAATGGAGATATATGGAAGGCAAACTTCCTCACTGTTGTTCCTGTATGTCAGTAACTGTCTGTGAGTACCTGCCATCTTTCAGTTGAGAAAGGGGAGTTACACTTCCTTAGGGAGAGGAAGTGAGTGTCTGATGCCTGCTTCCCTTCCCACTCTGTGTCTTCCAAGGGATGAGGTAGACTCTAGTGTCCTTCTATTGGGGAGCTTCAGGAGTTCTTTTGACAGCCCAAAGCTTCCCCCACCCCCAAGAGGACTCAGGAACACAAAGCACTGCCCCACCCCAGGGTCAGATCCTGTGGTTTGTTATCAATCTTTCTTTGTTTTACTTCTGGCAGATACTCAGCCCCATGCTTGGCTACCTCCCCTAATTTGAGAATTAGCATGATACCAACAGGGTAGGAATTTTAGCTACTAAGCTTTGGGCTCAACTTCTGAAGAATGTTAGAGTGACTATCTCGGTTAGCTGTCTGTCACTAGCAGTTGAGAGCTTCCAAGCCTGACAGCCCTGTGATCTTCAGATCAGGAAGGGAATATTTGTGACACATCATTATAACACTTTTTAGCCAGGCAGCTTTCAATACCAAGTTCCAATCAACCTTACATTGTTCTAACAAAGCTATTGTCTATAAATTAGATGGTATGTTAAATACAAAATAAGTCTATCCTCTCCCCGCCCCTAGACAGGAAATGTCAGTATTCTTTCTTTCTCCCCATCTCTCTCCTGTTTTGTTTTATTTGTACTTTTTCATAATTTCAAAAATATCTATTTACTAAATATGTTGCTTAAAATACAGTAATTGTTTAAGAAGTCTTCAATAGGAAAAGTGTTCTTTAAATAAAGTCCTTGTTTCCAATGTTTTTTAAATATTCTGTTATTTTGAGAACAAATATATGAAGTAACTTTCCATAAAGAATAGGAAGTCAGCAATTATAGTTCTTGATTTCCTCCAAACCTCCTGAAACAGGATAACATCTGTTTAAAAAGCAAAAATAAATGTTACCATGAGTGCCTCTCCTAAGCACATGAACAAGAAAACATTAAAATGCATGGGTAATGGGATTACACATGCTAGGTGCCACTCTACCTCTGACCTACAACCCTCTTAACCCTTTCTTAAAATTTTGCTTTGTGGCAACCTAAAAAGTTGTCCTGCCTGGTTGTGAACTTGCTCTTTAGCTCAGGCTGGCCTTGAACTTTCAATCTTCCTGCCTCGGTCCCCAGGTAGGGAGACTTCAACAATACTGCCTAGAAAAGTACTGCCCTCTCATCTAAGATTGATCATCATTCTGAGCGATGGCTGGGCACTGGGCTACTCACCCTTTGAGCATCTGCTAATCAGGCAAGGCTTCCTTTGGAGGAATGTGTCAGTATAGAAGAGAATCCTCTCTATGTCTGTGACCCACAATGAAAACCGCTTAGAATATCAACATTAGAGTCCACACTTTTAATCATAAAGATAATAGCAAGTTCCATATGAGCACTGTGAGTAAAGACCAGCACACAGCCTGGTGCTTGTAAAGACTCCATGTACACTCAAAATCAAGTGAACACCTGTGAATGGCAAAAAGGTTCTGCTGGGGGGTGGTGGCACACACCTTTAATCCCAGGCAGAGGCAGGCAAATCTCTGTGAGTTCGAGTCCAGCCTGGTCTATAGAGCTAGTTCCAGGACAGGCTCCAAAGCAATATCGAGAAACTCAAATAAATAAATAAATAAGTCTGCAAAAAGTTTCTATCAAGCCACCTTACTGTGTGTCCTTCCCAGGGTAATAATTTCAAAGTCAGTATTTAAACATGTGTAAAGCCGGGCACTCCAGAGGCAGAGGCAGGTGGATCCTAATGAGTTCGAGGCAACCCTGATCTACATGGTGATAGTGAGTTCAAGAACATGTAGACAGACTATGTCAAAAATAAAAATTAAAAAATTGGGGGGTTGGGGATTTAACTTACTGACAGAGCACTTGCCTAGCAAGCACAAGGTCCTGGGGAAATTTTTTATATTTTAATGTAAAAATGGCTGGGTATGTTGGTACAAGACTTTAATACCAACCCTGGGGATTGAGAGGCAGATGGATCTCCATAGTGAGTTCCAGGTCAACCAGAACAACATAGAGAGACCCTGTCTCAACCAAACGAAACCAAGTATGTAAAGATTACATAGAGCATGGCAAGGTATTGGTTGGCAAATACCTTGAATCCCAGCACTCAGGAGGCAGAGGCAGAGGTAGGCAGATCTCTGTGAGTTCGAGGCCATCCTGGTCTACAGAGCTAGTTCCAGGACAGGCTCCAAAACAATATATATATCCTGTCTCAAAAACCAAAAAGAAAAAAAAAAACCATAAAAATGGTTACAGAGAGTGCCCGGGGTTAGAGTGTTTCCAGGAGGAGGAACGTGAAGTGGCCACGTGGCCATTCAGAATTCAAAGCAGAATCACGGAGTTTAAAGAGTTGCGGAGTTCATTTTGAAAATCCATGCTTAGTGTTGACATGGAAACATTCAGTCCTTTGATAGAGAGAAAACAGAATATTTGTAATTATGCAAGTTCTTTACAAATTGGAAATTCTCAGGATTGTATGACTTTGAAAGCAGCCACGGGACCATCTTCTTGTGCTCATTCTACCAGTGATAGCAACCATGAGACAAAGAACACAAGAGTTTTCACTGAATTAATACAAATGAATGGGTCTCAAACGTCTAGTTTCTCACCAGCACTCAGCTGTATATAGTTAGGAATGAAACTACAACTACTGCTTTTAACAATGCTTGTGGACACATGCACACAAAAAGAATCTCAATAAGAAATTAACTATAACATGGGTGATTTTCAAGGTCAACCTAAAGGTCATTTGTAAAAACCTATGTGGGGGTTTCTGATATTCATTCAAAGGATAATCTATTTCCTTAAAATGTTTTCCTAGATTTACATGATAGGCATTTCAGGACAGACGTATCAGTTCACAGCCACACCACTGTGTCCCCCACCCCCACCCCTTCCTATCAGAGAAGGGAAGGTTGGAAGGGTTGAGTGGCTACTTCCATTTTGATCAGAAATTAAAAGTAGGAAAGTAGGACATGTTTTCTTTCCTTTTCCACTGGAAAGACCACATAGAACACACACACATAAAGACAGAGAGATGGGGGGAGAGGAGGGAGAGAGGACAGAGGGGGAAGTAGAAGGGGACAGAGAGAGAGGGAGGAAAGGATGGAGAGAAAGAGAGATAACTAATTCCCTAACAAAACTGGATAAAATAAAACATACTAGTATGATTCCTTTGGTTTTTGAAGAGCTATGTTTTCTGTTTCTCCTGCCATAGGAGTTTGTTCAATTCCTTTTCACTCAGTTTTCGCAGTATTACGCTGTGTTAAACACCAACAAGAAACTATCCCTGCACTGGCATAGCTGTCTCCTGCTGCTGCCTCCTTTTTCTTTCCCTCCCCCCCCTTTTTTTTTTTTAACAGAATGGACAAGATTTTTCTGTGGTGCATCTTTTCCACGTCTCTAGTAGCACCCTCCATTTCCTTCTGAGCATTCTCGCCCATCCTAATACCACATAGCAGGTATGATGTGACCTTCCAGCATAAAATGTATAAGATATTAAAGGATTAGAGTGGGGGAGCCTTCCTGCCCCCCTCAAAAAAGGATCATAACTGAATGACATGGTGGCCATGTGTGCCTCGATTTTATTGTCTCAAGATAAAACAAAACAAAACAAAAAACCCTTAAGGACTTCACTAAGCATGAAAGCCAAAATCACATATATAAAATTCATGAGATCAGCAGCCAAGAATGTCAACAGCCTTGAGTTGTTTAGAATTATATTTGTTAAATGCCAGTGATCTGCTATTAGCCAGACGGTGCCTTCTCTGACTACATGAGAGCTTCAGCAGGCCAGGTAGAGTTCTACAGGGATTTATTTTTTTTTCCAAGACTTGGACACTCCCCCACAATGTCATTGTGTGTCTTAGAGAGAGAGAGAGAGAGAGTAAATTTTTAACTAACAAAAGTAAAGAACATACAGCAAAAATGACTTACATTATAGAAAGTTAGTCTTGGATTAAAGTAAAACATGTTCTGTAAGACAGACCACTTGACCACACAAGAGTGTACAGCAGCCCTTCCTGTGATGGGACTTAGAGCTTCTGACAAGATTTTTTGTTTTTGTTTTGTTTTGTTTTGCCAGTTTATGCATAAAAGAAAGCTTTATCCAGGGGAAGGGCTGTGTTTTATAATTGTATTAAGGACTTCCTCCCTTCCCAGGTGCCTTCAATACATTAACAAGAATGTATTTATCTACCACTGAGAGGCACATCTATGTCATGGAATTATTTGCAGCCTCTCCTGTTTCCCATGGTAATGCTTCAGAAACTGACAGGGTCCCATTGTTTCATGTATTTGCTAAGTTACTGCATGTTTCCTGAATATTAAAGTTTATTCCTGGAGCCATTTCCTCTTAAATCCTTTTCTTAAATAACTCCTTCTGTCATTTGTCCTATAACTACACCTGCTTTACTTTAATATAAATAAAAGCCCTTCTCATGTGTGTTGAAATGACAAGTCTACTGTGATGTGTTTCTGTAGCTTTTGTTTGTACTAAAATGACAAAGCTCCTGCAGGTTGCTAAGGACAGCACTCTGGTTTTGGATCTGAGCTCATACATGCCTCTTGGTGGATATATTCCACCATCTTTCTGAAAAGGATAGTAAACAAATTCTCTTAGGATAGTCTCACAAGTCCCGGTGCTTGTCTACCAGCTCTAGCAAGATATAGTCAAAGGCCTCTCTGGCAATGTATGTTTCAGTGAATCAAGTTTGAAGTCACTAGTGCTTTTGTTGTATGGTGGTTAGACCCTGCTGTGATTAGGACACCTGACCTACCTTCACTGAGGAGGATGAATCCACCAGCTTTATTACCAATGTTGATTGGCCACCCACACCCAGACTTCACATAAACCAATGATAATTCTGTTAGCTTAGATAAAACTTCTGTCCAAGAGAATAGAGTCAATTCTGGCCTAGAAATGACATCCCAATTGGGAAGGGTCACTCCTGGTTAAGGGATAGGCCCTGGGTAGGTCCGTCACCCTAGATATCAATAGATGGGTGAATTAATACATCTTTTAACAAGACCCTACTCTTTTTCCCAGAATCCCCACCCCTGGTGACAATCTTAGGGGCCACAGCCAAGTAAGAGTCATAGTCTGCCCACTTTACTAAGTTTTAGTAAGGATGTTTTCCTTATTTTCAGCTTTCTTCCCAATATTTCTGGCTTCCTTACTTTCTAAATGAAGGAACCCAGTATGAACATGGCAAACATGGCTCTGGCAGACCTTGCCTTAATGGTTGTGCCCCTTACAAACTGTAAGCACTTGGCAGACATCTAGCTTGGGGATACTGTGGTGTTCAGCCCAGATGCTGCTAGTAGGGCACACCCTGAAAAAGTGCAATTCAAATTCACAAAAAAATAATTCCAAGTTTAGCCACACCTGGTGTTCCTGTACAGGAGAAACTCAGAGAAACTCAGATTTCACACAGGACATTGGTTTTTGGTGAATCTTGTGCACTTGTCCATTTCTTACCTTGCGCCTACCTGGGACAGCTCAGTTATTGGCCATCCCCCTCAAATGAGAAATGCACCCACTCTCTAATTTTTGGTTTGTTTTTGTGGGGTTCCCCGACATACTCACACAACACTGCATCTAAACCTAGGGCCACACATGCTAGGCAAATACCCTGCCACCAAAATTATTTTCTCAATAATCTTGCCCGACTTTTGATGGTCTGTGGACCTCTGTTCAACTCTTTGCAGACTCAAGAACCCAGAACACCCATGGGGAGGTGCTTAAGGAACCTAAATATCAGATGATAGCTGAAGTCACCTGACAAGGGTTCTTTGCCCTTCTTAAATATTAATGCAATGGCTGTGTCTGTGTCTCCTGGGATGCATCCCACGAGAGAGGTTATTTGTCATTTCCCTTCCTCTCCTCCAGAGAAAGGACCTTACCCTTGTCTCAGTGGATGGGAGTGGGGATGTGTTTTGAATGTCATCCTTGGAAGACTACACTCCATGATTCTTCTATAGCCTCTTTGTTACCAAGTGCACTTACTTGTCTTCAGAGGGTTTTTGTTTAGTCAGCCTTTAGTAAAAGCATAAATTATAAAATGCACCAAAGAAATGACAACCCTTAATGCTATAAGAGACAGAGTCCCTTGAATCTGCATAAGGATGTTTTGTTTTGTTTTAAAAGAGGATCTCACTATGTAGCTCTGGCTGGCCTGGAACTTTCTATGTGAACCAAGCCGACCAACCTCCAACTCACAGAGATCATCCTGCCTCTGGCTCTAGAGTACTGGGATTAAAGGCCTAGTCTGTGTAGAAAGTTCCAAGCCCACCAGGATGACATAGGAAGTACCAAAACCAAATAAGTAGGTAAGTAAAATAAGATAAAATAGACTTCATTTCTCAAAATGAATCCCAAAAGAAAATCACATCTTGGCAATGAAATAAACTCCAGTAAAGCAATTTTAAAAACTGTTCACTTTCTATGACTTTTTATTTGCAACAGTTGTTTGGGTTGGGGAGAGATTACAAACAGCTCTTAATCACTATGGCTCTTGGGACTTGCATTGTGAAAACATGTAATTCACAGAACGACCTCCCCAGTGGTTACAGGTGTTTTCACTAGTAAGCAAAGCTCCCTGTTTCTGCCTTGCTGTTTCTCTGCGCCTACTAAATGTGCATGATGCTGAGAATGGCCAACACCTTAACGGGACATGCAGTTTGTCTAGAGAGCTGGACCTCAGCTGGTACCTTTGTCCTGTGTTGTTGCTGCTCATTTCAGCAGAACTTTGTTTTCTACATTCAAATTGATCCTAAGTTTCAGTCTTGAGGGATTTCCTTACATCTACAGGAATTATAGGAAATAATTTTCTTGGAGCAGTAGATCAAATACACACCAAAAAGGCAGTCTCTGCTTTCCTTTACAAATGACCCAGGGTCCTTCTCCAACACAGTTTAAACCTAAAGTTTTTGTCAAAGTCACCCATAGCCTCCATCCTTCTGAGAGAAAGCCCCTGATGATTGTCACAGACAGCTACTAGTTACATAAGAATATTGAATATTGGTTATGCCTTAAAAAAATAAAAGCTCATTTGTGTTTGTGTAGGTGCTATGCTTCCCTCTGGGAATTCTGCTAGTTGTGGAGTTACTATAACTGCCTCTCTCTTTCCTAATGGCTGACTTCTCATGGTACAGAAAGGCCTTTCTAAGCAGTAAGCAGTGACTTGGAAGACCTCAAGCTTTAACATTGACCTTCTTATTGTTGTCATAGCTGATGCCACCAATGCCCTCAAGTATGTTCATAGGCAGGGGAAACACAATGGTGGAATTCTTCTCAGTGGCCACAGTGGTCAAGGTCTGTAGGTAACGAAGCTGGAGGGCAATGGGGGACTCGGCCAGCACCATAGAAGCTGACTTCAGGGACTTAGAAGCATTCATTTCTCCCTCGGCTGCAAGGACCTAAAATGAGAGAAACAAGTTGACAGCAGCATGATCTCTTCCTAGGTTTGTGTCCCCCATTATGCCTCCTGTTTCTCTGCTCACTTTCTTAGCAAAGACAAGCTTTTCACATTCTAGAGGGTTTGAAAAAAATTCAAGAAGTTGCACAAAGTGAATGTTCTGGTTAGTTGTGGTTTTTGTTTTGTTCCAGTTGTTTTTGTTTGTTTGATTGGTTGGTTTGGTTTGGTTTGGTTTTGGGGGGGTTGTTTTGTTTTGTTTTTACTTTACTCAGAGCAGAGTCATCTGGGAAGAGGGAGGGCACCGTAGTTGAGGGATTGCCGACATTAAATTTCCCATGGAAGTCTATGGATAGCATTTTCTTGATTAATAATTGAGAAGGGAGAACCCAGGCCACAGTGGGCCGTGCCATCACTGGGCCGTGCCATCACTGGGCCGATGGTCCTGGGTTGTGTAAGAAAGCAACCTGAGCAAGCCATGAGGAGCAAGCCAGTAAGCAGCATCCCTCCATGGCCTCTGCATCAATTCCTGCCTGGACTGAAATAAACCCTTTTCTCCTTAAGTTAGCTTTGTTTGTGGTGTTTATCACAGCAACAGAGGCATAGACTAGGACACTGGAACTAGATATTTTAGAAATTATTAGCTCTCAAGTTTATTTTCAAGCAGATAAAAGAAGTGTCATTTATACGCAAATGAGAACTTGACCTTCTAACCTGAGGATGTGTATATAGGCCTGAGAACAGCATTCGGGAGCCAGTCTCTGCTGTTGTGCATTATAGGGACCCATCTCAGGAAGTCAGGCTTGCATGACAAATGTCCTTACTGCCTGTGCTGTCCATCTCTATGACTCTCATTTTATTCTGCTGCCAAATTAGTCTCATCTTTACAATGCCAAAATTGCTTATATTCTCTCAGCTTTTGATCATAGAAGTAATGAGTCCATTAACCCTCATTAGGACTCTCTCTATTGACTGCTTTTCTAAATTCTGAGATTACCCAAGAGAAACCCTGACCAGGGCTCAACTGACCCATCTGTGAGCACTTGCTTTCCTTGCCAAAAGAGTCCTACTTAGGAGCTCCTGGCACTCAGGAGACAAAGCAAGTATGACTAAGGAACAAGGGTAGAGAAAACCTTCCTTAGCCACAGTTTGGTGTCATATCTGAAGATTTCCAATCTCTCACAGCAGAAAATCTATCCATACAGAACAAATGTGACAGCAGATTCTAGGACACTCAGACCAGACTGAGTTTTGAATGTTCTCATTCTAACCTGGCTTGTATTCAGTCACTCTTTTAAAGCCAGTAACATTTATCATACTCCAGTAACGATGCTTAAAACAAAGCACTAAGTTGGTCGCTTCAGAAATGTCAGCTTTATAATTGATGGTGGTTCCTGTGTGACTCCTGGCTCTGCTTCAAGGGATCTGAAAAGCTTTGTTTAGTCACATTCTCCTGAAGAACTTATATGGCCAGTGTTGCTTCCTGCATTTTCGATTACCCCACATGCAATAAGCAGAGTCCTGACCTATTCCCAAGCTTCCTCAAAGGGGTGGTAAGCTGTCCACTGTCTTTTAGGGAATTTCTTGGGAAAGAATCTCTTTTGGATCAATAATTGGGATTCTATTCTCCCCTCAGCTCCATCCTTCTCCACCACCATGCTAACCCAGTGTTTCTTACCCTGGCTCTGGCTTCCCTGGTGGCCTCAGCCTCAGCCGCCATGGACCTCTGCAGCTGCACAGGAATCCGGACATCTTTAATTTCCACCCTGGCCACACGGATCCCCCATAGCTCAGTGGCATCGTCAAGCAAGGTCTGTTTCCAGACGAAAAGGCATTGATTAGAAGACATGTGACCTGCTCATGTGTCTGGTGTGTTTGGGGAGACCGTCTTTTCTAAACTCACTAATGATGCTGGGAGGTGAAGTGACTATTCTGAAGGATTCTAATTGAATTTCCTTCTGACTTACAGACAGGAGGTTCAGAATCACAAAGTTGTGGACATAACAAAACACAGAAATGCTCTTTATAAACTAGAATATGGCAGTAGTGGGGCCAGATTTGTTACACATTCAGTGGTTATTATGGATGATTATTGACTTTGGTTATACTATGAGGTTTAAATTGTCCATGTATTGCCCATTTTTTGCTGTCTCAAATGAACTTTTTTGTTTTACACCACTGAAATGTAGGGATCCAAGGGCTGCCTGATAAGGGTTGTATTTCTTTTAGAGTAGTTTAAACTGGACATAAATATGGCTTGTAACTTGTTTTTTAAAAGGTTGACTTGCAGTGTTTGTTCATAATTTCAGATTTAGAGATAAAGAAAGATAAGAGGAACAATTCCCAAAGCTCCCTTCTCTCATGCAAACATTTAATGTTTTATAAACATTTGTTTTATACATATAGTTGTTCTGCATATATGTATGTCTATGCACCATATGTGCCTGGTATCCAGGAGATGAGGAGAGGGCATGGATCCCATGGAACTGTAATTTCAGATGGTTGTGAGTCACTATGTGGGAGCTGAGAATCAAACCAAGGTCCTCTGCAAGAGCAGCAAGTGCTGTTAACCACAGAGCCATCTCTCAGGCCCCCATGCAAATCTTTAAATCTATACCTTATGATTGATGATACATTACCAGCAATAAGGAAAGCCATCTTGAGAGGACAGCTATGTTTGAGTCAGAGAGGCTCTATTCTGAAGTATTGATGTTGGTAGTCATGGACCACCGAGATGACAGAATTCAAGATGCAGGCTCACAGTACTCTGTGGTTCTTACCTGGATGCTATGGGCAATCTCTTCTCTCCCAGATAAGATCTGGGACAAGGTCTGTGTCCCTAAGACATTTCTCAGAGTGGTCTGAGCCAGCAGAAATGTGGCTTGGTGAACATCATTTACATTGGCCACTGCTGAGACAGCGCTGTAGATTCTGTAATAGACGACTCCATCCACTTGGGTGGTCACAGAGTCTCTTGTGAGGATCTGCAGAGCATACACAGAGGGAGACCACGTGTGAGTTAGTTTACAATTGGCAAAGAGGCAACCAGCCTCCCTTACAGAAGGACGTCATCGTTTACTCATGCTAGCAATCGCCAAACATCGGTCCTGGCTTCGAAAATCTCACAGCTAAATGACTGCACAGGTTTGGTCCCTACCTATCCCTGTAGCGTCAACTTAGAGAATTCTTACATCCCATAGGCCTTCTTCCAAACAGAATTTGCATGATGTTATCTAACTGGTGTGCTAGTCTTGTGGGGCTAAAGGAGAAGCAGAGCTTCTTGGGAAACATAGATGGCGCCAGAGACCGTGTTCTATATTCAAGCAAAGCACCAGAGCTCTAGAGCTCTAGAGACCCAGCCACAGTCGTTCTGAACAAAGGTTCTCTCTCTCTCTCTCTCTCTCTCTCTCTCTCTCTCTCTCTCTCTCTCTCTCTCTCTCTCTCTCTCTCTCTCTCTCTCTCCCCCCCCCCACTCTGCAGTGGCCTGGACTTTGATTGGTTTCCTGCTTGCTTTTCACTTTAGCCCTCCTCCATCTTTCCTGCATCTTCCTTTCTTCTAGATGCCTTTGGTTATAAGAGGGTGGCGTGGGTGTCAGCATCACTTCCTCTTCTCTAGCACCCAGTTACTGCTTTGGGTCATTAATTCATACGACTTCAAGAATAATTTGAAGTCCAAATTCAAGCAGGTCCTGTGTAGTCTCTGTAATGTTCCTATACTTGTTCTATCCCAACACATAAACCAAAAGTGACTAACAAAAGTAAAGGTCAACTATGCCACTGTCTCTAAAAGTCCCTCTGAAGAAAGACGGTGCTCGGGAGGCAGAGGCAGGAGGATCTCTGTGAGTCCGAGGCCAGCCTGGTCTACAAACCGAGTTCCATGACAGGCTCCAAAGCCACACAGAATAACAAACAAACGCCCCTCTGAGAAGACTGTGGATAGTGCAGCTGATCTCCTACCCCACCCCCCTCTAACTCCTCAGCTCCAATCTGCCTCCACCTGGCTATCCCACAGCTTTTCGGCCTTTCAGGCTCGCCCTTCCCATTCATTTTCATTTGGCTAATTAAAGCCACCTGAATCACTTCAAGAAGGCTCTGGGGTTGGGGATGGGGATTAAGCCACACTCCCCCTGGTAGGTTAAAATTATGCCCAGGTCATAGGGAACCCAGGGGTTTCGTTTTTTGGTAACTCTGTTTAATCTTGTACCTCTTGTGGAGGAATGTTGCAAGTAACTGTTCGGAGATCAACTTTGACAAACACATCAATGCAGGGCAGGACCAGGATCAAACCTTTGCAAAAAGAAAATTGACTTAAAATTTGACCTGTTCAAAAGAACTACAGATGGTCTTCTAGGTATGTTGAACATCGTTTTTGTAGTGCTATATGCATTTTTTTGGATCTTCAGTAAGGAAACACTCAACTTTGGGGAAGGTGACTGCTTCTGGTCATTCAGTAAGTAAAGGAAATTAACTGCTTAGGAATTAAGGACCTTTGGCAAAATGCTAAAAAGAGCCCTGACACACATGTTTTTAATTTTTTGTTCATAAGTAATTGACTTCTCTTTAAGCATTTATTTTGAGGTTCGTTTTAAAACAATATCTAAGAAATTGGTTTCCTAACTAGAAAGAGTCAAGTTTGGCTGTGATTATTAGTTACTGCTAAAAGAATACTGTATTAAAACTGGGCATTGGTGATGAACACCTTTAATCCCAGCACTGGGGAAGCAGAGGCAGGCAGATCTCAGTGGTTCAAGGCCAACCTGGTCTACAGAGTGAGTTCCTGGACAGGCTCCAAAGCAATTCAGAGAAACCTGTCTCAAAATACAAAAACAAGGAGAATAACACATTAAAATCTTCCACCCAGTCTCAGGGATTCAGGAAGGAGACTGAAGTAGGTGGATTGCAAGTTCAAGTCCTGCCTGGGCTACATAAGGAATCCAAATCCAGCTTGGACAACAGATACTCAGGTGGATTGCAAGTTCAAGTCCTGCCTGGGCTACATAAAGAATCCAACCAAACCCAGTTGGACAAATTAAAGTTTGTCTCAAAAACATATGCATGTATGCATATTTGTGTATATCAATCATGTATAATATATAATATGTAATATATATGTATATATATATTTGCTTGGCACTTGACTAGCACAGTCTTCCAGGGGCCCAGGTCCCCTGCAAACAGTGCACTGCAGAACTGAAAATTGACATATCTCTTTAGCTGTGTTCAAGTGTAATGGCATCCCCCAGGTGCAATGCTTCTGTTTCTGAGTAGTAAGTGCTGGGCTTGGAGCAGGTCAGGGAAGGGGCAAAGTAAGAAAGCCCATCTGAGAACACTGTGGGTCCTCAGCTTTACCCCAGAAGCTTTTGTTCTTATGAGCGTCACAGCCACAGTCATGACGGCAATGAGGACATGGATCCATTTCCACACATCAGAAATCTTTATGCTACTGGATTTGTTTTCAAGGCAGAAATCAGCCTTTAGTCTGAGTGGAGAGCCAGCAACATGGGATGAGTACACAGTGGCTTGCTTTGGCCATTAATTCATGGTATTTCAAGATTTATTTTGTTCTCTTAATTTTCTTTAGTCCTGTGGTAAGAATCCCCACCCTACTGCTGTCATCTCTCTCTCTCTCTCTCTCTCTCTCTCTCTCTCTCTCTCTCTCGTGTTTTCGTGTGTGTGTGTGTGTGTGTGTGTGTGTGTGTGTGTGTGTGTGTGTGTGGTGTCTCTGATTAATTTCAAATTCCTAAGAACTACCTTGAGTTCAATGTCAGCCAACCTCATGCCTGGGACCACTCACTGATCTTTCCTGAGCTTCCATTACCAATGACATATAAGATGTAGTGAAGATGAAACACAGGTCACCATGACAACAAAGTACTAAACAAGATGTCTGGCCTCCACGAAGTAATGGATATGGCTGTTCTTCTTGTCAATACTTTTATTACTAAAGGACAGTTTGCCATTTACAAACACCTTAGCAATTTGGCTTGTTTCCCTTTGGTCCTCGTGATGTTCTGAGGTAAACTGTTAGCCCCAGAGACATGCATGACGCGGGTTGTTATCCTGGGACTCTTAGCAGAGAAGTCTTTTGGGAGAATTCATTTAAGAAAGACACATTCTCCTCAGGAGTTTTCCAAGTGGTGGCTGCTCTGCCTGTCTCCCCACTCTAGTTCTATTTTAACAGTCTTGGGCCCTTCAGACAGGAGCATGACTGAGGAGAGGCGCTTGCTGACTCTTCATTGGTAGACAGGCTAACACTGATGTCTCGACAAATGGATAAAAAGCATCTGTATGAAGCACTTCTTGCCCATCCTCTTAGGTTGGTTACAAAATTAGACAAAAATTATACTATCGGAATGATCAGGACTCATTCATAAAATTACCCTCGGAAGTTTCTCACAGCCTTTTTCAATGTAGCATATGACAGCATACAGCGTTGTTGATCTGTGGTCAGGTACAGAGTCTAACCATGCATAAAAAACTCCTGCCCTTCCACCCCTGGTCTTGCAGCGATCTTGGAGATTTAACGGTTTTACTCAAAATGTAGGAACAGGGACAGGAAGCAAATGTTATAAGAGAAACACAAGGAAGGGCCACTGTTTTGTGAAATCCCTTTCTATCCATAATATTAAAGTCAATCATATAAAATTGTCATTGTTATAAATTAAAACAAATACAAGCAATTTGTGTGGTTTAAGATAAGCTGTGACCCAAGACCGCAGGTCTAGGACTTTTTACTATCCAACACTTCCCATCCCCTCCCCCAGGCAAAAAGTCTGAATAGTTTGTGACCCTCTTTACTTCCCAGAGCTATAGACAGCATGGGAAAAAAAAAAAAAGATGTACCTGGTATTAGATGCCTGGAATCTCTTGTTTACCATCAGCCACTGTGATACTCGCTGACAAATAATTAAATCTATTTGGGTCTCCAGGTCTTCATTTTCACAACTAGAAGACTCCACTAAGAGGCTTGTGCCTTTATCCATAGGCTCCCCACCAGGGGAATATGTATGTGTGCATGTATGTATATATGTATGCAGTGTGTGTGTAGCCCTTTCCAAACATTAATACAATCCACCTCCTTGAATAGTCCCTGTGGGTAATTTAATGGGCCACATGGGCCATTTGCTTTCTTCCTTCATTCCCTGGACTTTTTGCTCTTTACAGTCCTGGACATAAATGACAGCCAGTCAATGTAGGCTCAGATTTCATAATACTCAAACTGGTGGCCTCTCCCACTAACATGCCCAATGGAGCATGTTTGTGCCTAAAACACAAGGTCTCCAGCTTTCTATGTGTTTTCTTGGACACTCAATAGTTCCCATGGGTTGTGGCAACAGATGTCCACAGTCTCCATACCTGGTCCCTTGGCTTTATCAGCTTGGATGCGTCCCAGTCGGAAGACAACAGCACGTTCATACTCCTTAATGATCTGAGAGATTAAGGGAGAACCTTTAGTCTCAATGTCTGTCAGTCACCAGGGAGACACCTGTTTGTTTCCCAGGGCATTACCTTCAAGCACATCCATATGGAGATGGGGAAGGTAATGAGCATCAACAGCAAGGAAAGGGAAAACAGAATCCAGCCACACACACCAAGCCGGTTCTTGTTGATGCCTGGGAAGTGAGAAAAGCAAGTTTATAATCTAAGTGATTCTTAACAAAATTATCAGGCAGTGTGAGGAAGGAGAGAGTATTTCTTGACACCGCCCAAGATTGACAGGAAAGAGGAACAAACCTAACTCCATTCATACTGTGAATATAGTTACAAATAGCTGTGTGCAGGTGTGCTCCTCTCTCTCTCTCTCTCTCTCTCTCTCTCTCTCTCTCTCTCTCTCTCTCACACACACACACACACACACACAAACACAGACACACAACACACACTCGCATGTGCAGGAATTCAAAATGCTTTGTATGGGGAGGGGTGCTTAGAAATTAAAATCAATCTGTCCCTTCCAAGAAGTTGCTCAACAATCAACAGTGATAATCATCATTATGTTTTGTAAGGCCAGCTTGTTTCATTATTATCCAGACAAGAAAAGATGTCTTGGAATGTGATCATGAACCAGTCATATTGGGATCATCAGATTTTGGGTCCCTTGAAGTCTTCATTTGAAATTCAAAACAAGCCCTGAGATAGGTAGGGAGGTGCTATTATCCCTAGAGAGGAGAGTGATGTGCATGTGGGAAAATGTCTTAGAGGCCCTGGGTGCGAGTTTCTATGCAAGGTCTCTCATGTGCCGGCTCCAGAGCTTTACACGATCCATTTCAGAAGAGACTTTTCATCAATAAGATGGAGATAGAAGTAACCTACTTTGAAAGATCTGGTGAAGATTAAATGATGCCATTTTTACACAGCTCCCGATCCCGTGTGTATGTGTCTATGTCTGAATGTGTGCCTGTGTCTATTTGTGTATGTGCCTGTGTGTCTCTCTGTGTATATATCAGTTTGTGTGTGTATGTATGTCTGCATGTGTGTGCATGTGTGTGTATGTGTGTGTCCTATTATTCCTGCTTTACAGATGAATAGAAGATCCCGAAACTTATCAAACTGCTTTGTAATAGGAGGACACTTATTTTAAGTCCTATTTCCACAACTTAACATCTTGAAGCTTTAGTCACATCAATCATAATTTCTTGTTCATGGAATGTGCATGTCTGGCCAACCTTTTCGCGTCAGAACTTTTTATAGTCATCCTCTCACCTCCTTGGTGGTCCTCTGCACATTCTCTTTTCCTCGGCAGTCACCTCCTTTCTCATCTCCCAACCCCTTTCGGCTGAGTCTCATTTTCCATTCAAACATTAGAACTAGTTGTCTTTGCTAGATACACCACCCTGGCAATCCCAGCCACTCCCCTGCCCAGGTTAGAGACACGGGTCGTCATCATTGCCTCCTCCTTATCCATCTACTAACGTCACTTTGGGACTTCCACTGATACACTAGAAACATACATACATACACACACATATATATTTACTTATAAATACATACTTAGATATTTACTATATATTTATTACACACACATACACACATATACATTTACTTATAAATACATATTTATATATTTACTATACATTTATTTAAATTATATGTACATATTTATTTACTTATTTAAGAGGGTTCTGAGTTTTTCTTTTATGAACAGTGAAGTGATGGGAGTTTCTAAGCACTCTTTTGTGAATGTGTATAGGATAAATCCCTGGTAGTGTATGTGTTAGAGTAAAAAGATTTACAATCTTACTCAATAGTCAATGCCCTTTAAGGAGTTTGAATCTACCCCCTCCTCTCTGACAGTACATGTACCTCCTTCTGCATGGTCTGAGCTCATGAAATTGTATCAGGTTTGTCAACTGTTCTAGCTTGCTGGGTGAAATATATTTAGCAGTAAAACTTTTCTAAGTGTTCTGTCTAAATATACATGAAGATTGCATATGAACAATAATGGCTTGCCTGCCTACTTGAAAGCTGAAATTCCTGAAACATCAACCTGTGACGTCATGGAACTGCTCTGAGGTGAACCTGAGTACCTGTGCAGGATAAGAAGAAACTCTGGCGCTGGTGAGATGGCATGGGGGATAGGGTGCTTGCCACCAAGCCTGGGGACCTGAGTCTGATTCTTGGAACACCCATGGAGGGAAGAAAGAATCAACTCTTGCAAGTTGTCCTCTGATCTCCACGTCTGTGCTGTGGCATGGGGGCCCACTGCCCCCATGATCACACAGTTAGAGACAGAACAATCTTCCCAGTTTCTAACTTTTAGAAAATTAAAGAAAAGAGAGAAAGAGACAGACAGACAGAGATACAGTGAGAGACAGAGAGAGATGGAGAAGGAGGAGGAGAAGTTGTCTATAACTGTCCATTTAGAATTGTGCAAAGTTGTTCATGCTGATAATCCCAGCATGTGTGCAGCTGAGCCAGGACATGGAGTTGAAGTCCATCCTAGGCTACATAGCAACACCCAGCTTAACAATAACAGCAAAAGAACTTTCTAAATTAGAGTGCCCCTCCTCATGCACCCCTGCCTCAAGAGGCCTGGCCTCACAGTTCATGAAAAAGACCTAAAGCAACAGCATCCCCCAGGCCTGGGACTCAGGAAGCCAGGCTTGCCACCAGGCTCCTGAACACCAGGAGTTTAGTTTTGGTAGCTGAACTGGTGGTGGTCAGCACTACAGTTTCAGTGACCCAGACATGGGTCCAGGGAAAGCTCTCCATGGATCTGCCCCTTTGCACATATCTGTGCCCCTCACTCACACTTGCATCCCACATGTTCTCCTACCTCACTTCCCCAACCTATTTGTTCCTATAACCCCCATCACCGCCATCCTTGAGGGCTCTAGGGTCCCTTGTGAGTTTTAGCTGCTTCCCATGTCTTCCCTGTGGATGTTCAGTGCTTTGAAGCAGAGTTCTGTTCCTGGCTCCCTCCTGGCTCACAGCAGGTGCTAGTGGGTGAGTGGCTGGTCCATTCTAGCCCACTTTGACGTCTCAGAATGATGCTGCGCCACCAGTTAGATTTATGGGTTCATTTGGAAGTTCTTATGAAAAATAATGATCCATTAGAAGAGACTCTGTCTCTCACGAGACTTAATTAACCCAAGAACCATAAGCCATTGCATTTTCTCCTTCACGCTTCTGCCTTCCTGCACACTCACCCTCCACATCATTATGAGAAAATAAAGGATATGTCCTTGCATCATTCTCCTCTGCCCCCACACTCCCCATGCTTCCAGCCCCACTCCCTCTGAAATGACGGCACTGATATCATTTCAAACACAGGTATTTTGCCCCTAATATTTATCTTCAGATGACCTCACAACACTTCCATGTATACCAATACAGATGACAAACACCCTGGCAGACACACAATATTGTATTTTTGCATACGTTTTACTAATTAATCATGGACAGAGCCTCATGTGTCCCAGGCTGGCTTCAAACTAAAATGTAACTGAAGGTGACTTTGCACTTCTGACCCTCCTTCCTCCCCCTCCCGAGTTCTGGCTTTAGTGGTGCGTACCCTCGAAGATGCTGAGGATTGAACCCAGCTTTTTGTGCATGCTAGGCAAGTACTCTTACCAATTGGGCTGCTTGCACAGCCCACAGGTATATGCTTTTATAGTCTATAAAAGTACTTGAGAATCATTATAGGATGATAGTAACAGGAAAAAAAAAATGGCATGGCATAAAACCATCAGCTAGTGGGCTTCCAATTAGTACAAATACATGCATAAAAGAATTCTGGAAGAAATTTAAAGCAAATGTTTCTGAGTAGTGGAAACATAGTGGTTCTGAATTTTTAAATGTTGTGATGTTTTTATGAAAAGATTTTATTTATTTGTTGTGTGAGTGTTTGCCTTTGTGTACATACATGCCTCATGTGCATACAGTGCTTGAGGAGGGCATCAGATGCCCTGGAACTAGAGTTGCAGATAACTGTGATCCACCATGTGGGTGCTGGGAACAGAGCTGAGGTTTTCTGCAAGAGCAGTGATTGTTCTTAACAGCTGATCCATCTCTCCACATCCTAATTCTGTTTTCTCAAATATACATATATTTATGCTTTTATAAGGAAATGTTTTCATAAGAAACTCCTGTCCAAATGTTCTCCCTCCTTCCCTCTCTCCATCACTCCCTCTCTCCTTCACCTCCTATCCTGTTAAGACACAGTGGGAACAACACTCCAACAGCTTCTAGAATCCCTCTTCAGAGAATCTCAGCCTTCAGCATCAAATATAATACCCAGCATTAAACCCTAGGGATAAACACTGTTTCAGCAGTATAATTCATCTTTCCTACCTGTCTGTTTTACTAAAAGAGACAAATAGCTTTCATTGAAAATGATTTTAAGCAAACTATAAATTCACTATACACTCCGTATTACTGGGAGGACTAGTCACTAGATCCTGATTGTATTGGAATTAGAACCAAGAAGGACAAACTCAGTCTGTAAGTCTCAGAAAATCCACATTGCATTTCTCATACATTTTCAACAGCACAGGAAACACGGACCCGGATTGTTTTTTCTGCAAGAGTACAAGTTTATTGTTTGATTGAAAGGTCCTAACTACAAAAACCTATGGTCACTCTAAGATGCCTCACTGATGAGGAGGCGTCAGTCATGCCCTCTGCTCAGGTGCTGTCTTACCCTGTTAGAGTGGAAACCAAAATCCTCACAGATTCACTGGTTTAAAAAGGTGAGGTTCAGCATGACACACACCTGCAATATGAATACTACAGAGCCTGAAGCAGGAGGATGGCCAACATGAGCTATCAAGTGTGAAGTCCCCATAAAGCCACATAAGGCTGATCAATTGATTGGAGCTTCCTAATTGTGGAGTTTCTGAGTCCAGAATTTGTAACTGCGGAGGTAAAATTCTCAGGGCTCTTCACCTCCCTTAACACCCATTCAGGGCTCACCCCTGTGTCTGTCCCAACACCAATGTGAACATCAGCCAATCCTTTTGGAAGGAGTCCCCTTAAGAGGCTGGCTGGTCCCACCTCTACTCTGTTGCGACCTGCAAACCATTTCCACCGTGGAACATATAATTTGGGACAGCTCCGTTCCACATTCCCAGGACACTGCCACTCATATTTGGCTCAAAAATAAACCATGTCT